GAGGATTCACAACTCAACTGATGATGACAGATCAGCAGGTTCGGCACTGAACAGATTAAAGCTCTTAAAAGATTATGCTCTCGCATCAGATAAAACCTTTCAAATGCCTCTTGCTTTGACATAATGTACTTCAAAAGATAATGATAGGGTCCCTTATGCCTCAACCCTTTTAGAATTCCAGTTTTTTTTAGCAATACTGTTAATCATATTTTGTATTTCATTTTTAATTAAAAAAAAATCAATGCAAACTTCTGCCCAATGTTTGAAACTGATCATCTACTCGGTTAACATACTAAGCAATCGAATTAATAGTTCGACAAATAAATCACAAACACATCGATATAACATATGTGTGTGCAGATAATTATGACTAAAATGTAGTTGTGGTGTGAGTAGTTGTTTGTATTTGAGCTAATTGCAAGATCCCCTTGTTTGAATCCCATGTAAGGTTTTTACAATAATTATTTTTAAAAATGATTCAAATGACAAGTTTAGGATCAGTAGTATTAATTCATCCCGATTCCCAGACATCTAATCTAATAAGTCCCCCGGACTAATTATCCAGCTAATTCATCGATTGAAGTGGCCAGTACAATCAAATTCTAATAATGATGTCTTTATGACTAAAGTTTTATAAATTCCAATCCTTAATGGTAATTAATATTTGTATCTGTAACTAAAATATTCCTTTTTCAATAATCAAGTCACATACACAATTTTTACGCATTTTATGGGAAGCTTATTTACAAGTCCATTTCTCCTTAAATCCGTCACCTAAACACTTCTCCTATCCTTTCTATTAATAAAAAGTTCATCTCATGATTTATTTTTTGTGTACAAATAGTTTTCTATCTCCTCCAAAATTATATATTGTTATCCATCCAAATGCATTTAAATTTCCAACCAAATGCAGTCTTTTTAATGGCATCATTATTATCTTCTGATCTACTCATCCCCGTATGATATTTAAATCCTTTTGCTATATGGACGGCTTTGGGGGCAATCAAAGAATTTGGAACTTAATTTGAGACAAATTAAAATGAGAATCTAACATAAAAGTTATATAACCCATAATATTAAAATAAATATAAATTTATGGTATTTAAACACGAATTTGAACACCCTCGATCTACTTAGTTTGAGACAACTTATTGGAAATATTTATGTACGGATGTGGTTTTTGTCTTTCTAATTGGTTTGGTTAAATCTTCCTGTTAATTCGCTGTAATGTTAATTAATGTGTAAGGCAAACCAAACCATTTTCATTGTTCTTATGATGGTTTATATATTTAAGCAAGGCATGTGTTAATTAAGCTTTATACCTGTAACTCTTCTCCACCTTTGCTTTTGTTGTTCATCTTTTCTTTTGTAAGACATGGTTAATTTTTTATTATTATTAAATTGCAAATAATATTAATTCCTGTTAGAGAATCCTGAAACTTGAATGTAAGATATTCTTTGTTTAGCTGTTATGTTGATGACCACACAGTATACTCAACTTTTTTCAAGTGTTATTCTCCTGAAGTCAATGATTTCAAATCAAGATATTCTTTAATGTTTATTTTCCCTCGTAGTTTGACTCAGTTTAGTAATTTCATAAAGCATTTTAAATATATATTTTTTCAATAATATTTCCTTTTAGTTCCAATGAGAATTTTGATTCTGTCTCAACCGCAAACTCAGCTCCAAGACCATTCCTAATACTCTATAGGATGGTTCTTTATACTCCTAAAAAGGGTCAGATGAAATGACGAATTGAAGATTACAAAGAGGTATCATAACCATGATATTTAAATTTTCATCTATGTAAATCATTAAATATTCCTAAGTTTTTGGGGGTTTTCTTTTTCCTATGACAATAGTATGGCTATTTTATTTGCATAGACCTATGTTAAACACATTGCATGTGCTTCAAGTTGATGATATTAAAACACAAAGGTGTCATAAGAGGGAAGCAAAGAAAGAATGGAGCCAGAAGAAGAAACAAAGGATGGATAGGAGAAACCAAATTGAGATTGAATGCTATATCATAGCAAACTACAATGAATTCAAACATATAATCAATTAAATACACTTTTTTTTTTCTTTGTATGCAGTGTGCTTTTATATTTTTGGTCAATGTATGCAGTGTGCGTGAATAGGTGTGAATAAATTTAAGGCTTTGGGCCGAAGAAGTTAAAAGGAATTAAATGGGCCACTGCACGCTAACATAAGACATAGCACAATAATGTGAAGGCTTTGTTTCCTTGAACTATTAGCTATTATCTAATATATATTGAGAAATACTAGTTAATCATTTATACTGGTTGGGGTTTTCTGATTTATACAAAAATACCGAGCACAAACGTACTGTATTACGACCTCAAAAGAATACTACATGTTTCAAAGAAAAAAAATTGTTGATGAGCAACAAGTTTCAATTGACGGGTGGTTTAAGATTAATTTATTTATTATAGTATGTATATCCTACCTTTGGATAATGCTGCTGTTACCTACCAAAGAACAGTTCAGCGAAATGTGGGAAGTCTTGAGCTTGAGTTTGACATACGCTGGATGAAACGTTAAAGCTAAGGCCAACACTACTCAATAATTGACTTATTTTAGTCCTAATTCAACAATGAAACTCCTTATTATGGGCCCAATTCACTTTCTCACTGTTTTTTTCACTTTGAAAAGCCGAATCCCTTGATCATATATCATCATTTAGTTTGACTCATAATGTTAAGAATGAAAGCCCTACTCATGTGTGCATTAAGAATGAAAAATTTTACAGGTGAAAACTCAAGCCAGCTCCTAAAGGACACCAAGTCATTTCCTTTCTCTTGAAGTGGCAATTCGAGTAAAGGCAAAGTTGGAAAAATAGGTAAGCTCCTTAAAATATATAGTTTGAGTTTTAAATTTTAGGTTTTGATTACTTTAAGTTTTTAATACCAGACTCATCTGTATTTTTTTTTATTAGAGTCAATTCCACCTAGTCTGTTTAAGCATAAAATACAAATTTGAGTTAAATTTGAATTTTTATTTTACAGCACAATTAAAAATTCTTTTTTTTACAATCAAATACAGTTCCAAAACTTAAATTTAATTGACTTCAATTAAAAAAAAGTGATTCATTTCAACATCTCTAAGAGATGTTGAATCTTGAATAATCAACACAATCACGCACTCACACAAGTAAAAGTATAAAAAAGTTTAGCTAAATCCTACCTAATATTATGTAACAGGTTAGGTCTTGTATTCACAACGTCAACCCAATCTTTTTCAGAAGGTTATAATTAATTATAATAATCAATTCACGAATATGATCAACAAACAGCACAGCAAGAATAGTTTGCCAATTAAAATCAGATTTTGAAGGAAAAATACTTTCTTTAACCATAATTTGAGTTAACAAACTTTCCTTTAACATTTTAATCAAGTAAATTTTTAAGGAGTTAATAACATTAGCTAAGAGATGAAATTGAAAAACGTAAATCGTAACATTTTTTTAGTGAGTAAAAAAAAGGAAAATTAAATATATAACAGAAAAAATTAATAAAATTATTTCTCGTAAGGATATCGTCTAAAGAGATTTCAAATTTCTAAAATTGTTACATTGATTGCACATAAAATAGTATTTTTTATTTTGATCCAGACAGAAAATTATTTATTTACGCAAAAAGAAAGAAAATGATTCCCTTTCAGTGGGCTTCGGCCCTTCAATATTAGAAGATACAATAATACTTTGCTACTATTTGCATATGATTTGCTGGGCCTAAACAGTTTCTTTCTTTCCCACACGTCTGTGAGATGCACATGTAGTCTCCTTCTCCCCCCTCAGTTTTCGTAGCAAAGATAAACTAATATTTTCTAATCCATTCGTTAAAAAGCGTAAGAAATAAAGAAGAAAGGTCAATATGTTCCGTGAGGGAGACTCTTACATGATTGCTTAAAAAGGTTCACAGCACCACTCACGCCTATTATTATTATACTTTTTTAGGTTATAACATTTATATATATGTAAAATAAAAAAACAAAACTTTCCCTTTTATTATAATAAACTGATGTCCCCACTTATGATTCAAACGAAAAGGAGTCAATAGCCTAAAAGCTAAAGCTAAATCAAATAACTGCAACAATATAATGATCGGTCAGCTTTGAAATCGAAATGATGTTTTACCCTCTTGAGAAACTGTATATAATCTCCCTAGGATTCTTTTCTACGTCATTTATTTGTTTTTTAGTGAATAATCAATCATTTTTATATAAAAGTAAATTAAGAAAATGCTAAACATTAAGAGTAAATTCTACAGTTTGTTAGTTGTTTTTGGGCTGTTAAGCCCCGTTTATTAAAAAAAAAAAAACAGAAAAAAATCTTATAAATCCTCAATAATATCACAGAGCTGTGGCGTGCAAATGCAATTCTTATCAATTCTTATTTGAAATCACTTTCCGTATACCCACCACCAAAATAATCGATGATAAATGCAACAGCTTCCACGATTCACAGAAGATTGAGACGATATGCTTAACAGTGTTCGTTTGGTCACCAAACCCATTAAAAGCCGCACGTAATTCGACGGTTCTCACGCATTTCTTCCGGCGAATAATTCTTCATCGTACTAAAATTTTATTTTAAATTTTGATATATTCTCTTGCATATTTTTTTAATAATTATTTTATAAAATAAAAATATCCATATTTATTATTTTAAAAAACAATTCTTCGTTAACAAACGTTAATCTTATTTTTAAATTGAATTTAAATATCTAAGATTAATATTTTTTTAATGAAAAAGAAGTATTATGAATTATGTACGCTGACCTGAGGACATACTAGTTGTTACAAGTTTCAATGCAAAGGGTATTGGGCATTGTAACCGTCGATCCATTCAGCATAACTACACTTGCGGGACCCACAGAAGATCAACTACACCAAGTTGGCACTGCCACCGATATAATTTTACAATAATTGTCTGAAACATATATAAACAAGATCACTGATTAAGATTCATTAGCCTTAGATTTTTCTCATTTATTGAAAAGAAAAAGAGAACGAACAATAGCAAGAGTCACGCTGGCGGGGAAGAACGTTTCTCCGGAAGCGGAGCAGCTTCGCGTGACGCTGCTTTCCGACGTTGAAAACGACGCCGATGTTCGAATCCCCGATACAGCGCATCAAATTAGCACTGGTAAGTGCTACCTTTTTTCTTGAATTAACTAATTTACATAATTAAATTAATATAAACGGAGCATGGTTAAATGATTAATTTGGAATTTTACTTGCAGATTCGTGGTTTCAAGTGGGGTTTGTGTTGACTACGGGAATTAATAGCGCATATGTGGTTGGATATTCGGGAACCATAATGGTTCCCCTAGGTTGGATAGGGGGCGTCGTCGGTTTGATTCTTGCCACCGCTATATCGCTCTATGCAAATGCTCTTATTGCTATGCTCCATGAATTTGGAGGAACAAGGCATATTCGTTATAGAGACCTTGCTGGATATATATATGGTGTGTGATAATCTATGTTATTGCTAGTTTAGCTCCCTTTTCCTATTGTCATGTTATTTTGTTGTGTAAATTACTATAGATGTTTATGGTTATGTTCATCTCTCATTGCAGGTAGAAAAGCTTATTCCCTCACTTGGGCTTTGCAGTATGTCAACCTTTTCATGATTAATGCCGGGTACATCATTTTGGCTGGTTCCGCTTTAAAGGTAACTTAACTTACCATGTGTTTGGATTGGATTGACGTCGAATTCATTAGTATCTAGTTCAACGCCAGAAGTTATGGCTTTCATGTTGAAGCGTGATTGTTTTAGTGGAGTTTCAAACATACACTTTTGCAACCTTGTATAAGTTGTTCAATACTGATTTTATTTTTCTTATTCTCAAGTTGTAGCCCGCTAAAAATTTTGGGCCTCGCTTTCTCTTCCCTTCGTATTGCCAAGTACATCAATATCCCTTTTCTCCTTTATGTTGCTTTCTTAAACACATCAACTGTCACAATTTTTGCCATTTCTTCCCTATCGAATATAATATTGTTTGGATTACTATGTTACTGGATCAGCAAAAATATTTGGCTCGTACATATTCTGTCAATTCTGCTTTACCTTTGTACGGTCATGCAGAAATTGGTTATACATATCGTTTGCTTCAAAGAATTTTTATGAATCTTGTCTGTTCGTTGTGGTGCAGGCCGTTTATGTTCTGTTTAGGGATGACGGGCAGATGAAGCTTCCATATTGTATTGCCATAGCTGGACTTGTATGTGCAATGTTTGCCATTTGTATTCCCCATCTTTCGGCTCTTGGAATTTGGCTGGGATTTTCGACTGTCTTCAGCCTAGTATATATTGCTGTAGCATTTGTGCTGTCAATTAATGATGGTAATCTCCTTTGCTGTTATACTTCTTTGTGTGCTTGAGTACTATTATAGTACAATGACTTGCTCTTAATTATGTACCACTAGTTCTTTTAATCAATTGCCCTTGTTGATCCACTTTTTCATTGAAACCTGTTCTATGAATATACTCTTCTGTTTGAAGAAAGCAAGGTGCAAGACCAATGCTTGCTTTTCTGTTTCCCAGTGCTCGTCTAATTAAGTGTTTCTTTTATTCATGTTCTTTTTATGAGAAATGATATTTAACTCTGTCATCTGAAATAGAGATAACTAGAGTTTTAGCATACAAAATCTTGAATTCCTGTTCGAATCTTATGAGTTAGTTCTGAGTTTCTTCATCCTGCCATGCTTAATCTGATTACCTTTACACTTGTTTCTTCTTTTCATTCCCTTTATATTAATTCTGCTTGTCAACGAACATAATGTCATTCGTTTGTAATTTTGGTCTTAGGCTGGTATTCTGAGGGTGGTCTTTTGTTTCATTAATGAAGGATATAAATAGACCTTAAACGTCGTTCTTATACGTAGTATTTCAGCTGATGTCATGCACATGCTTTAATTATGAGAATTGGGGAATTTGCATCCCTCGTTGTCATTAACCTTATGAAATTCACCACTTGCTATAGTGTGAAAATGCGAGTCAAAGAGTTTATTTAGAACTAGCAAAAGAATATCAATCATACTTAATAGATTATAAACAATATCCACATTACTCATTTATCAATCATATGCTAGACAACGACTGTTTTTTTCTGTGCTTAATTTATCTGGTGGTTTAAATTGATAAGTTAAGTTTGAATTTCCATGCTAACCCCCAGTGCATCATTAGGTATAAAATCACCTGCTCGAGATTATAGCATTCCAGGGACGTCAACAAGTAAAATATTTACAACAATTGGCGCGTCTGCTAATCTTGTGTTCGCATATAATACAGGAATGCTTCCTGAGATACAAGTAACATGCAAGCTTATATTATAGTTATTTGTTTCGTGTGTTTTATGCAGACTCATAACCTTTCATTTCTAAATGTGCTCTGGCGAGAGAGTTTTACTTGGTTGTAATCCTAACAGGCAACGATCGAACAGCCAGTTGTCAAGAACATGATGAAAGCCTTATACTTTCAGTTTACCGTTGGAGTTCTGCCATTATATCTGGTTACCTTTGCAGGATACTGGGCTTATGGATCTTCAACAGCAACCTATTTGTTGAGTGACGTCAATGGTCCAGTCTGGGTGAAGGCCATGGCCAATATTGCAGCCTTTCTTCAATCTGTCATTGCATTGCATGTAGTAGCCGCTAAACTGGAATTTTGCTGCTACTGATTGTTTTATTTAAGTTTTATAACTGGCCTAATGACCTCTCTTCTAATTCTGGTAGATATTTGCAAGCCCAATGTACGAGTATTTGGATACCAAACATGGGATAAAAGGGAGCGCCCTGGCTTTTAAGAACTTGTCATTTCGAGTGTTGGTAAGAGGTGGCTACCTAACATTGAATACTTTTGTATCAGCTCTATTGCCATTCCTTGGAGATTTCATGAGCCTCACAGGAGCGATCAGCACATTTCCCCTTACATTCATCCTTGCCAACCACATGTACCTAGTGGCAAATAAGAACAAACTAACATCCTTTCAAATGCTCTGGCATTGGATCAACATTTGTTTCTTTGGCATCATGTCTCTTGCCGCAACTTTTGCAGCCCTGCGGCTTATTGCTTTAGACTCCAAAACGTACCACGTTTTCGCGGATTTATGATGAAGTTCACTATATTCTTTCGACAATTATAATGCTTATGTTTTGTGCTTCAAATTTCTTTCATTTTAAAAATTAATCTCATCAAATTTTTACCTTATCTTTCAAGCACTTGGCTCTATCTCTTAATATAAAGTAAGGGCTTGGTACTATTATGAAACGATGGACTTTCTTAAGGCCTGTTTAATTTAGATAGAAAATCAATTCCCACATCGTGTACACATTTTAATGCAAAATTTGTAGGTGATACTTAGACACATACTATGTTACTGTTTCAAATTAATAATATCACGATCAATTTTCAACTTTAGAACAGATAAGCTTTTAGAAGCCATCAAGTAATAGATCAAATAGTTTCATTGAAGATGTACGAGTTGAGCAACCATCATTTGGACAACATTCACCAATCAAGCAAGAATGCAAGATGCAATTAAAAACAAATAGAGAATTAAAGCGAGGAAATTTGGAAGATGGTAACTAATTCTTAAAAGATGAATGCAACGCCCACCCCACTAAAGTCACAATAACGGTTATCTCATTTTCTATTTATATGTCGATGGCAAACGTGATTTCACGAAAAAAAAATGCAATAGATCCACATCCCAATAATGAAACTTTCAATATATATTTCTAAAACAGAATTTGTCAAATTCCTGCCTAAGCACAACTTGAATCATCTGATGAAAACTCCTCAACCTGTAATTATTAAGAAACCGAAATAGTGTCAAATGCCATGATACATCCATTATCAGTTCCATTGCTTAAACATAAAAACATTAACATATATGACACTATATAATTATTTTTATCTCTCACTTTTTATCTTTTTATATACACACAACTCAAAAATATTACCCCAAACATTTTTCCACTGTATTCTGCAGCTTGATCCCATAATAAGAAAATAAACCACCACATTCTTTGAACTGCATAACGCTTAGATAGATGTTAAGGACTTTGATTGAATTCACCATTAACCTACTAGGTAAGCTTAAAACTATCAATTTTGGTTGATTCCCATGTAAATACCATAATTTCAAAGACAGCCACATCGAGCAATTATTTCATGGTGATATTCAATTATCGGAATGGAGGACATAAGAAACTACTTATGACTCTCAAGTCGTGAACTACTCTGAATCTAATGAACAAATTCAGTTCATGAATGACATGTACATACATGTATTGCACTGAAATATCCATCGGAAGACTTCAAAGATCATTTCAGAAAAATAATTTATCTGAAAAGTCAACATATAATTCACTTTATGTTTCGGTCCTGAACGAAACATGAGAAAGGCTCATGGTACTCCCATAAACGGCAGATGTTTGTTGTAATGAAATTAAAAATTAGCATCTATTTATCACCATTAACTTATTATTATTATACACACACACACTTTTAAAACTAAAAATGTTTAAGCCAGACATATGTATTGACGTCTCACCTTGCTAGATATCATCCAGAAACTAACTTTACAGTAATGCAGATAGAGTTGAGAAGTATGAGAGGAACTCTTAGGTACTGAGTTGCATATATGAGACCTATAAGCTGGCCTTTGAAAGATTTTGTCTGGCCACCAGAGAAATCAGATAAGCCCCATCCTCTAGGTGCAAGAAAGCGGTCCTCATTAAGTATTGCTAATGCATTTGCAAGAAGCAGGAACCCCTCAAGTAATGTCCACAAACCCATTTCACTACACTGCAAAGTAATCCAACCTGACTTACAAATAACTTCAATTCATTTGCACTAGCGCTTTCATACATTGCTCAACTATGAACAGAAGTACAGAATGACAAATGACTAATACATTTATAAAGCTGGTGTACAACATAGATAACTTTTAAAAGTTTAAACAATGGGAGACTTAATTAAAATTTATTGAATCAAATAGCGCATCCTTAGTATCCTTTAAATTAAATAGAAATACTAGCAATTTACTTTTTCAACCCTTCATCAACCAACCAAAGAAAAAGTGGGAGCACATCATTTTGTGGGTCCCACGTGAATTTCACCCAATAATAAATAGTGCGTAACTAAAATTCCTCTGAATTAAAACATAACTAATGAATTACAAAAGAATTGAAGATATGATAAATTAGTCCAAGACTATCTGATGCTTTAACTGAAAAAGTAAAACTATGCACTGGAAACTAAGAATAAAGATCAAGTTCATTCTAATGTGTTGACAGAGGCACATAACTGCCAGAACCATGACATAAAATCATGTAGTAGTTACTACAACACCATTAGTTCCTTCCCATTGACTTTTCTCTACTAAATCAAAAAGGTCAATGCTCACTAATTAGGCTGATCGTTGGAGGACAAGGGATTCATTAATCATAACCATGAAATCAAGTAGCAGCACTATATAAGTGTCTTGCATAACCAACTCCTAGCCTTTCTGACCCCAGTTATCTTCATGTAGCCTCATCTTTGGTACAATAAGGCAGATGGAGAAGTAATCATAACAATTAAATCAAAGCGTCGCATGGGAATCCCTCAACCTAATTCAGTAGATAACACAATTTGTTGACAATAATAAAAAAAGAAATGGGATGATTCCATTGCGAGAGCACTGATAGACTTACAACTAACAGGTTAAGCAGTTTCACTAAGCTGAAGGCAGAAAAATCAAAATTCTAGTTACAATCACTTGGAGGACCTCAAAGTCATTCACAAATAACACTTTAAAGACAAACTCTTACTCTCAAATTGAATAACCTCTAACTCAATTTGAAGTATAGAATACAAAATTTGACAGTAATTGTCGCTTACCCTATTTGTTATCTGAGTGTCCATAACTGTTGTTCGAAGTACATAATTCAAAAACATTGAATCAATTAGCAGGCCCAAGTGATACTAAGCCATAGATCACAATTCACAATAATAAACGAACTCCAATCAAATAACAGATACGCAAAAACTAAGCTTAACAAGCTTCAGCCAAACGTTACAGAACAATAACAGAGAAACACTGCAGAATCCTAGATCTGCCGCAAACTCAACATAAGAACAAAAAGTTGTGATTATTAAATAGGAACAAACTAAACGTGGAACTTCAATTGAAAACAAGGGCAGAAAGCAGAAGAACAATGAATAAAAATTAGGGAAAAAAAATGGAAGAAAAGAATAAAGAAAGTAACCTTATTAGAGAGGGAGGAAGAAGAGGACGGGGGATGGCGGTGGTAGCGTCGACGCGGACGGTGGAATTGCAGTAGAGAACAAATGGCAACAATACTGAGAAGACACAACACAATCCAATATCGCCAAAGAAAGTTTATTAGTTTGATTCTTTAATTTTATTTTTATTTTATAATTTAATTTTATTATATTTTGATCTTGTAAGTTCTTATTTTTTATTTTTAAATATTAATTAAGTAAAACATTTTTAATCATATTTAATTAAATTAATCCAATAGAAGAATGATAATTAAAAAGATAAAAATAATAATTAATATAATTAAATATATATTTAAAGAAAAACTATTTGATTGATGTTTAAATATTAGATTATCTAATTTTAAAAAAGTTAAAATTTAAATAAATTACTATATTACTAATTTTTTATCTTTTAAATTTTAGTTCTCAAAATTGTAAAAGAAAATTTTAATCTTAAAATTGTTTCATTTTTTATTTGATAAAATTATTTATTTATTAATATTACTTTTAAACAAAAGATAATAAATTAATGTAAAAAAAAAACACTAAAATAAAAATATTTACTTCCATGTTATAAACTAGAGTCTTCACTCTTAAAAATATTTCAAAGATATTAATTTCTTTGTTAAATCACATTAAGCACCAATTCTATCTAACTTAAAAGCAAATGTGCCTTTCAATTACAATTTAAAATATAACTAGGATACTAGTTAATATAAGAACTACCACTTAACAATTTAACATATTCTATCTACTTACTCAAATATACATTTTGAAATAGTGGAGCATTGGCTTTTGTAGTTGAACTGCCAAATTGCTATGAATATGTACATACATCTTAAAGAGCTAACTCGCATCTAATGGCTCAGTACCAGTCACTAAGTCATGAATTAAGACTAATTTCTTTCATCATTCTCACATGATCATCACAGATGCAACCTGGATAAGAATTTGCATAGAAGCTTTCTTCCCATTTGGGGTGTCGATGGACTTTTCTAGGATGAGGAGCTCCAATTCTGTTTCCATGTATGCTTTTAACCCTTGATGAGAAATCGTCCCATGAAATCAAGCCATTGTCCAATTGATCAATCAGTCTCACGAACCTTTGTCTGCACCATGTTATAAGGTACATTAATTAGAAATAACCAAATTTTATTAATATACGTTATATATATTTTTATTTTAAAATATATATTTGAACACTTATTTGTAAATGAGTCATCATATTTTAAAAATTTATATTTTAATCATTATACAAATATTTTTTTTTATTTTAATTATTGTCGTTACAACGTTATTAAAAAAAATGCAAGTGATTAAACACTAACTTTTATTATCAGTATCAGTAAAGACTTAAAAAATAGTTAAATTCTCGGATAAGAATTAAAATAAGTTTTTTAAATATAAAAATGAATTCATAAATGAGTAATTACTGCTACGACAAAACTTGTATTTTAACTTCTAGGTTTTTCCTGAATCAAAGTGTGATATGTTGTGTAATAGAATCAATACTTGTCTGGGCTAATGGTTTTTCGAAACCCTTCAAATGTTCGATGACCTCGAGCTACTTTGGCCATGTGTCCATCGTAGCTGTAAATAAAAACATCACTTTCCAATGCTATGATGTAATCTAAAGCAGCAAGTTGATTTTGGTGGCCTTTAAATGGTTGCAACTCTTCTGTTGTGGCTAAAGTGGAGTGACTAAAAATATTAGGATACTTGTTTAGGAGGGGTTTCATTCCATCTTTGCCATAAATTGTGCCTGCAGCTACATAAATCTTGGTGTTAAGAGGATAGCCAAGTGCTTCAAGAAATACAGCAACCTCTCTTGGAGTCATTGGGCAGCTACCCCTTAAGCGTCTTGACTTGCTATCAATCTCTTTCACCTTCCAATGTTTCACCTGATATCTCATCTTTTTAAGCTCCAAGGCTTCTTCTTTGGTCAGGTTATGGCTACAGCCGGTAAAAGCAAGCATGTCCTTCTCATATCTGCAATATTGTGGGGCTTGTGAGAGAGATTAATTAAGGATGCACATTTTTCTAAGTCTAGGTGATAGTACTTAGAATATGTTAATCATCCTTAAAATTGAGTTTAAGTATTTAAAAATAATAATATTTAATTAAAAGAATATTTATTACACTTTTATAATTTTAACATTATAAATATGTTATTCTCAAATTTACTCATTATATTTAAATACTCAAACTCAACTTTAATAACTGTGGTTAACAAAATTTTAATACGTAACCACATGTTTTAATTAACTTAGTAGACTATGGTAAAGGAAATACCTCAAATGGAGTGCAATGTAAGGAGTGTTGTTGTTTCTAAGTCTATTTACCAATTTCATTCCAAGCTCTTCAATTGGGAATGTGAACTTGAGCCCCTCATACATGGCACGACAACGTACTCTTTGAATTGAAGTAGCTAGACCATTATTGACTAAACGAGAATCACTATGGGTAAATTTGATCACTTTGTGCTTCTTCAATAATTGCAATATATCCCCTGCATAATAACTGGCCTACATGTTTCAAAGTGATCATAAAATTTAGATTCAAAAAAAAGAAAAAGAAATAACTACGTTAATATTAATGGTGGTAGAACTTTCAATATAGAAAATGTTTAGTAGTAGAATTGCCTTGGACCAAGAAACTGGTGCCTTCAAAACTGGCTTAATTCTTGCAAATTCAGGTGGTAGAGAGTCCACTATTCGAACGTCATCATTTAAAACTTCAACGAAGTTCCTCCAGTTAAAAATTTGTTTAAAATCACTGATAAAATAGAATTAGAACACTGCGAAATTAGAGTGAGACATATTTCTTTGAGTAGAAACACCCAAGTAGATGAGAATGTATACCTAGGATCGGTCCAAAAGGAATTATGATCTAATGTTGGCATAACTAAAGTGGCTTTCATAATTTTTGCAATTGCAACCATGTCACTTATCTGTAACTTGATGGAAACTAGTATATTAATATCTTGCAAGAAATTTGAAAAATAAATAAACAAGTAAATGTAGACTCTAAAGGAAACTTAATTGCGTACTCCAGATTTCATTTGATTTAATCCTCCATTAGCATGCACCAAAAGGTAACCATTTGTGATGTTCCCCGCCCCTGTAGAATAAAAATTATTCCTAATCACTTATGTTGAATTTCACTCAAATTCTAAGTAACAAAGAGCTTTGAACTCACGTCGATCACTCTTTGTTCGACCCATGCATTTGTGGTAGTTGTCACGCTTAGGATGCTCCCAAATTTCGAGAGTCTAACTAACAGATATCATACAAAAACTACAATCACAATCTAAATGTAACAGCAAATAATAGTAATATTAATTATATTGTGAACAACAGAGTATGAAGCGTAATTTGTGTATTCCTTTGTAGTGTGTAATACGTGTGTTGATTTCTTGAGTGAAATGAATGATGATGAATCATTTATTGACTGAAAAGACAAAATATAGTTGTAATAATTGCGAGATTCGGTGTGAAATTTACAAAAGACGATAAGATGTGTTTATTGTGATTCTGACATATTTATCATTATATTTATTTAAGTGATATTTATCTAAAATACTTTATTTATAATTATATAAATTCGTAAGAATTTTTTACATTTTAAAAAAAATAAGAATAACTATAGACATATGAGAATATCAATATACACTCTTGATAAGATATATTTTGTATAACTATTCCTTCCAATGGATAACAAACAAAAAGTTTTATGTATACTCGTTACATCCATTTTATTATACAAAAAAAGGCAAAGAAAGCATGACATAGGTGGAGTAATGAAAAATATAATGTATTGATGATATAAAATATCACGTAGAGCAAATTTTTGTATACCGGTGATTTGTTTGGTGAGGGTACGTCTTCTACCATGTTAGATTGTATCAAAGGCTTCATGGTCAATTGATCAGAAAACATATTCAACAGCACAAACTTAGTAAGCACACACATAAAAACCAAAACCATTAGGGTCCAAAACATATGGCGTCCTAGCTTTAGCCTGAATTGCCTTTGCCAATGTCGTATTTTACGTCGCATGTTGGACGTGCCCCTAATGTCAGAAGACATTAATCCATACCGTTCTTCTGTTCCCTCTAATAGGCCTCTCCTTGAGATGAACATGGTGCACGAGATAATTGATTAAGAGCCACGCTTGACAAAGAGATAATAGAAATAGAAGAGATTCTTAGAGAAATTGATGAGAGGTAATGAGAAACGACCATGCATCATAGGTCGAAAGGTTGGACTTGTGGGAATGACTTTGCTTTCTTCTTTTGTCTTTGGTGAAGCTTTTCTATGGTTAAATGGTGAATCTATTATGTTATGATAGCGATATATGAGGCGACACATTCTCTCTATTTCTGATGTTTTTAGTTTGTATGCTATATCGAGTTTGATATATATATATTCTTTTACACTTAATTCAATATGTTTTTTATAAAGGTTTAATTTTAGTCTTTCAACTTAAAAAAAATTAGTTCTTTATTTTTAAAATTTTGATACTTTTATTCTTTAGTAACGGCGTAATCAACTAAAATGTGTTGTTTTTTATTAGGCCACATTATCACCGTGGCCAAAAGTGTTGAGTTTTTATAAAAAAAAAATAGAGACAAAAAAAAAGGATCAAAATTGAAATGTTATAAAAATATATTTAAACTTTGTTTTTTTATCAAAAAAATATTTATCTTCTTTTTCCTTTTCACCTAACATTACCGATTTACTGGCTTCATAACAAGGGGAAAATAATTTCTTTTCTAAACAAAGGCAAAATGGATGAATCATGAACGTCTTTCTTTTTTGTCAATAATCATGAATGCCATGTTAGCTTCATTTTTTTTTGTCGTCATGAATTGCATATTAGATTTAGCCACTTGTTTACTGAAAATAAAAAAGGAGAAGGAAAGCCCAATTGAATGGGCCTTTTAGAAAACCTAAATGGCCCGCCCCGTTTGACAATGTCTCTATAAGAACCCTTAAACTAACATCTGTGTTGCTTCCGCCGAGCTGAGGAGAAGGAGGAGGAGACTCAAAGCACAGCAAAATGGTTAAGGGAAGACAAGGAGAGCGTGTCAGGTTTGTCCCCTTTCTATTTGTTTTTAGCATCTTCTTATCCTTCGATTTGATGTGTAATGCACATTCATAGTGTGGTGCAGTTTTAGGGTTTCTGTTTTCTATTCGATAATGCTTGCTGACTTCGTTGTTTCTGTTTCACCAGACTTTACGTCAGAGGTTCAATTCTTGGATACAAGAGGTATGATTTTTTCACCAGTGTTTGGATATATGATTTTTCTGATAATTTATGGTTTGTGCTAAGAAATGTGTAGTGTTGTTCAGGTCCAAGTCAAATCAATACCCAAACACCTCTCTTATTCAGATTGAGGGGGTAAACTCAAAGGAAGAGGTTGGGTGGTACTGTGGGAAGCGCATGGCGTATATTTATAAGGCAAAGGTAAAGAAGAATGGAAGCCACTATCGCTGCATTTGGGGTAAGGTTGCCAGGCCTCATGGTAACAGCGGTATTGTGCGTGCTAAGTTCAAGTCCAATCTACCACCTAGATCAATGGTACTTTTGAAACTTAAAAATGTTTTTTTAATGCCCTTTTTGTGATTACTTAAAGTTTTGATTGTTGATACATCTGCAGGGAGCAAGGGTAAGAGTCTTTATGTATCCAAGCAATATATGAGGTAATTTTACCATTTATTTGTATTATGGACTTTTCTTATGCATTATTCCCTTTTTTTTTTTAAACTAAGATTTTAGTACTATTGCCAATCGTGCTATCATGCTATTTGATATGTGAATCAAAGATTAAATTAAATTATGTCTGAATAATGGCAGAAATGGTGGATTTGTATCAATCCATCAATGCTATGCAATAAAGTTGAGTTTTTCAGCCAAAGGTTGGCGAGCCTATGTTACCTAACCACTGAAAACATTACTTGCCTTTTCTTTGTATTTAATCTTATTTTAAAATCATCTGAATTGATTTTGATAGATATTTTTTGCTCCTAAATTGGGTTCAGTGAACCATGTAAATAGTAAGCTTCTTCAGATTATGAAGTTGCCCTGACTGTAGGAGGTTATTTTGTTTGAACTTCATGTGGGTTTTGTAGTTTTCTGATGTCTTGATACTGATTGTTATTAAATTCCTAACTTTCTCATCTGAAGACAACACTAATTCCTTCGTAAACTCCTTGTATTGTTTGTGTATTTTCTATCCATGATCGATCAATCTTTGAACATGAATGTGAGAGAAAATCGCACACAGTTCTTCTTGGGAATCTACTTTTACAAAATCAACTCCCAGGATTTTATCTGTGCGGATAGCAACTGAAAAAACCTTTCTGCTTGAGCCTTCTCCTTTATCCATGGAGATGTGCTCCAATGTAATTGGCTTACAGTTGCATCCTTTTGCTGGAAAATTGATTGTTAAGATGTGATTGTATTGATAGTATATGGTTGGACCTTGACTTGTGAACCCTTTGTTTTCTCCATTTTTGTTGATTGAATCCTGGGGTTCATTTTTTTATGTATTCTAGGTACCCTACATATTGATTGAAAGCCTAGTTACGTATTTTTTATGCATTATAGGTTCTAGTTACCCCCCCCTGCATATTGTATTGTTTTATTTGATTGTGTGAGCATCATCAGTACACTAGCAATTACGCCACGTAGTTCGTTTTGATTAATAACTAGAATAGTATCCGTGCACAAAATCATGGTAAAAAGATTAAAAATTAATCTAAATAATTTGGCATTGGTTTTGCAGTAAAATCACAACTCTGCAATTAAAATATACGAATCGAAGACAGGGCTCCAATGTGTTGACGTGTGGCACTTTCTTGGACAGTTTTACTAAGTATATATTAGCTAATTGAAATTTATTAAGTATTGTTATTGACTTATGTTACCTATTAATGCACTTGATAATAACTTGTTTGTAATCATGGTATCCTTATTTTATACCACTGGGACTAATTGACCTCTAAATTGCATGTTGGGTATTTTTGCAGATTGTTAGGACCTGTTGGTGCGTAGGGTTTATCCGGCGAGTAGAAGGAAGTTGCATTATGCGAATTAAAATTTTGTGCCTTGTGTAACTCTTACTGGTATATCCTTGTTTAGGATATGGTGAATGAACCTCATGTTTTTCCTTCGTTCTCATTCTTGTGGTTATTTAATGGGGATTGAGTCTCAATTTCATAAAATGGATTTTCGCTGCCTCTTTCAACTGTTTCGCATTATGATCAGTTTGGCCTCCCCTTAAAGTTGGAAATGAAAAATGGTAGTATCGTCAGCTTTTCATCTCCCCCACTGTAAGGAAATGCCAAATTTATGCGAAAATTTATTCTCGGATCGGAATAGTAATTAGTCTAAATACAAATTAATTCAGTCTGTGAAAAAGACGAAGATTAGCAATTCACTTTTTTTAACGCATTTTTATTAAAAGAAATGAGAGAAATGTTGAGAATTACAAGTATTTAATAAAGTTTAACCTTACAAGTGTACTACTCTTCTGAACAATCTTTTCCTGCGGTTAACCGGTTCAGTCTTACTTGTCATCCCTTGTTGGGTATGGGCCGCCCCACTCTAAATCGAACTGACAGTCAGTTTCAGTTTTGAAAACTAGATAGGACCTAGATTTTTTGGGTTTATGGTTGAGAATTAAATCTTTTTAAAACTAAAACATAGGTTAATATAATATATTAAAATAAAAAGATTTTATTTCAAAAAATTACGATTATGAAGTAAACTACATAAGCCCTAAGCATTCATTTGAGTCGGCAAGGAAAGTAAATAAATTATTGACAAATTTTATTTACACATTTGCAAAAACCTCAGTATGAAATCAATAATCTTTAGAAAAATAAAAAGTTTAATTTTTTAATTTAATTAGAATGTATTGATGGTTTAAAAGTTTTAAAATTTTAGTTATTATCTAATTGTGTAGTATTATATCTGTAACAATTAATTTGTGTAATAATTAAAACAAAAATTATTTATTATGTTTTATAATTGATTTACGGTTAGAAATTTTTTTATTCTAACTATCATACAAGGGAGAATCATGAAATGCATGAATGTTTTATGAACAAAGTGTATTAATTTTATCACTAGTTTTATCTTCTAATTCTTGAAAGTTTGACTTTTTTAATGATTGCCAAAACATGTAATATGTTTTATTAAATATTTTCTAAGTCAATACCTTAAAATTTTTATTAATCTCCTAAATTAAACAGTGAATATCAGTTCTGTGTTTACACTGGAGAAAGCAGAGTGAGAGCGCAGATCCACTGTCGTAAACACTTTCTGCTTTTAACTGAAGTGAGCAACAGCTCGAGACATTTCCCTAAAAATTACATGATCAGTAAGGAATAGGAAATCTGACTTATTGACCAAGTCAAAGAGTATATCCAAACTTTGTTGACTTGCTCTCAATTGACGGAGGAGTAGAAAGCTAACTGTTCATAATGGTTGATTTGGTGTGATTGGGGATGATGCAACACAGCATGTTCTACGCATTGAATGAATACTATTCTAATTTAGACATTGGAGATTCGTTAGTTAGTTGGTGCTCTTTTAGCCAAACACGTCGCATCACATGTCCTTGGAGAAGGTGTGATTCCCACGACTTTAGGTGGCTCTGCATTACTCGGCCACCTTCAATTCCATGGACAAAAATAATACCCAACCTAACATTGCTTTGAATACCTAGATGTATCGCTTGAAAGGTGTTTTGGTTGCCAATACAACTTACTTAAATATTGATGGTGGAAACACTAACACACCCCCCTATCTCAAAGAATTCAGATTTTTTTTTTAAATATTTTTAAAAAACAATGCTTTTGAATTCTTGAAATTATTATGGTTAAACTAAGCTAATTAAATCATTTCATATTCTATTATGGTTAAAATTATCCAATCAAATTATATTTAATGTAAAATAAAAGATACAAATATTAATCCTCTTTGAAATCCTTACTTCACACTTGACAAAATAAAAGAAACATACCAAATTGCTGTTCTCTCAAAATTATAATAAAATCCTCAATTATTCAAGTAAGAAATAAAAAATTAAAAGTATTATGTTCAAAGAAATTAATGAAAATAAATTATTAAGGATTTAAACTTAAATAAAAAAATATAACATAGTATAACTGGTTTAAATAAACATATATATCTTTTACATAAATAATATTTTTATAAAAAATATTAATGATGATCTTGTATATTTATCTAATACGTTGTCTAATATAAGATAATATATGGAATATAATCTACAATCACATCAAAAGATATATGATTTGTAAAATTTGATCAAATCTATATATAGTAAGACTTTTGTCATGTCATTGCATAATAAATTAACATCATAAATGACTATTGTACGTGCCGACGGATGATAGAGTAGCGAGTAGCTTATCAACCCCTTCAGACCAATATTCATTAGCTAAATATGACCCACTTATTGTTCTTCACCAAAACAAAAGAAAATACACGACCCACCTGATCAGTGACATTTCCTCACACACATCATTTGCTAACACGTGGATCCTTAAATTGACGGTGCCCTTCTACATCCATTTCTATTTGTTTTTAAATTTAATGCACTTTTTTCCTTCACACATATTAGCATTTTCGGCATCGATTATTTGAAAAAAAAAGTTTTTTGCAATTTAAACTAAACTAATTAAAACACTAAACCTTCACATACACGTGTAAAAAAATTTACTCAAATAAAAATATTAGTTTATTATAAAAAATATTAACTATTATACTAATCATGTATTAAAATTAAAGTCTTATTATAATTAAGTCAACTTGAAGTCCTAATTGTTTTTGGACTTGCACCTGATTATTCCATTTTATTATTATTCTAGAAAGAACGAGACATTGATCCATGCCCATGCTTGTATTTGAATCCTAATGATAGAGTCCGTATTCATATATCATTCCTTCTATTATCTCTTTGGACTGCTCATAGACTACTATCCCTCTCTCAGTTGTCAGTACAGAATTTCCATCTTATATGCCTCCAATTGCGCTTATTCCTCGTAGCCAAACAAAATTCAATGAGAAAGAATATTATGTTTAAGAGTTTGTTTTTAAATTTATAAAGTTTGTTTTACATTAATCATTTACCTATTTTGACTAAAAATATTATGACTCATGTGATGTAGATTTCAAAAAAATTAAAGACCAATTTCATACACTTAAATAACTTTGGTGACTAAACTGTGTAAATATAAACTTTTATAAGCTTGAGTTAGAAAATAATAATTTATTTTAATATGCAAATATGAAATTACAAATTGGTTGATTGTATAACTATTTTTTTTAAATTATTTTAATTTAATCAACCAATTATGTAGTTATAAATTTTTAACAAATTTACAATTTTTAACTAACTTTATTCATCAGAGTCCATATCTTTATTCATAACACTTATTATAAATTTAAGATAAACCTTGTAATCTGTCCAAATAAATAATTTTCTTATCTCTAATTATTTGTTTGGACATGTATTGAAAAAAATTAAACACATTTATTCATACATAAATTTTTTTAAGATACGGTTTTATTAAATATAAATTGGTTCAGGCCCCACCAATTGCCGACTGGTCTTTGCATCATGAAACCAATTTTCTGCCCAAATTGCGACACGCAAACGTGTTATTTAAAAAGAAAGAAGAAGCAAACGAGGCGGCGTTTGGACCGGCATTTCACTTCCCAATCCCTCAGATCCATACGCCAAATGGGATTAGATGTTTCTCACTAATTTTTTTTAGCTATTTAATTTATGTAAAATATTAAGATTAATTTTAAGTAAACCAAAATTAATTATTAAAATCTAATTAAAATGAACTCTGCATCTTTTATTTGTATATCATTTTCTTGCTATCAAACAAAAGCCATTAGTAAAAATATTAATAAATATTTTTTATTAATATTTTTTTTTCTAATTTTTATAAATAATAATTACCACTCTTCTTGTTTTAAATATAAAATAAAATAAAATTTAAATACATTAATTATTAAAAAATAATATTTTTCATTAGAAAAATTATATTAATAAAATACTATTCATCATTAATATGAATAAATATATTTATTATATAAAATACAAGTCACTAATATAATTGTTTATTATTATAGTTATTTTAAAATACGCTATATATTATAACATAAAATTACTTTATATTGGTCTTTATGAGTTAATTAATTATTTATTTAGTTATAACAAAATTCAGAAAAATTATAAGAAAATTTAGTAAAAATAATAAAAAAGGTATATTAATAATATATTTTAATATTTTTAATCAATATTGATATTATAAATATTTATTTTTTAAATATATTTACTAATATTTTTCATACTTTTTAAACAACATCAATAAGTATTCAACATGTTGATTAAATAAAGAAAAACATTGACATCGATTTTTATGAATATTTTAAGTAACTAATAATAATATGATTTAATTTAAAAAATTAATAATAATTTTTTATTAAAGATATTTCCTAGACTTTTATATTTTGAATGTAATAAATATTTTTTAATAAAATTGTATTATTACTTTAATTAAATAAAAACGTATTCTTCTTTTAATAATTTTAGTTTATTTAAGTTTTTTTAAAAATATTTTCAAGATATACTAAAAAATAATTTATTTTTTATAAATTTATACAATGTACAAAAAATGCAATTTTCTCATTTATAATTATACAAATAATTTTGTAACATTAGATGTATTTTTTAAAAATATTTAAAACCAATTTTCAAAAGAATAAAAGACATTAAAAAAAATTTTACGTTTGTTTCTTAGAAAAGTTAAATAAACACATTAAAAATTTATTTAAAAAAATTATACAAAGATTAGAACAAATATGCTATAAAAAAATATTTAATAAAATCTCTCAAATATTCCTTCACAAATAATAAAAAAGGAAATTTAAGTACAGTCAATTAAAATTAAAATTATACTTATTTATTACCTAAATTACCAAGTTAAAACTCGAATTACAGAAATGTTATATTGGGATGGATAAAATCTGATTCTGAATATAAACAACCCGATTTCTTGAAATAATTGAAAATTTCACGACAGCGCTACAGAGACAATAAACAAATAAAATGGGAAACAGAATAAAAGAAAGTGCAGAGAAACGCAGGGATTGAAGGAGGGAAATCGCTGTTAACATACGCGTTTGCGTTTGTTTACCTTTCCATTATCCTTCTCAATTTCTCATTCCATTACAATTCCCATGAAACATTCTCAGATCCCTCTCAGATCCACTCCGCAATTACAATAATACCCCTCCATCCACCACCGGATCGCCACGATGAAGGGTTCGAGCCGTTTCTTCACGATCGGTTTGGTCTCCGCATGGTACTCTTCCAACATTGGGGTGCTTCTCTTGAACAAGTATCTTCTCAGCAACTATGGCTTCAAGTACCCCATTTTTCTCACCATGTGTCACATGACAGCGTGTTCCTTGTTCAGCTATGTTGCCATAGCTTGGCTCAAAATGGTTCCCATGCAAACGATTCGGTCCAGGGTTCAGTTTTTCAAGATCGCTACTCTTAGCCTTGTTTTCTGTGTATCCGTCGTTTTTGGTAACATTTCACTCCGTTATCTTCCCGTGTCGTTTAACCAGGCTGTCGGCGCCACCACCCCCTTCTTCACCGCTGTTTTTGCTTACATCATGACGTTTAAGAGAGAGGCTTGGCTCACCTACCTCACTCTTGTTCCCGTTGTTACCGGCGTCGTCATTGCTAGCGGGGTAATTCACCTCAATTTTTTATTCTTCGTGATTTTCGATTTAGCTTGAGTTTTTAAAAATAAATAATAATAAAAATAAATTATTTGATTGGTTGCACTTGCTTGTACAACCTTAAAATATTGTGAGTTTTGGAAATGTTTTGTTTTGAATTCGGTGGCATGTGTGATTTTGTTGCTCCATGTGGGAATGTTTTTACTTTTCAGTGAAGTGGTGTGTTACACGCCAAGTTCATAGGAATCTATTCTTCTATAATAAATGAAATGTGCGGTTTAGGTTGGTTTGAGAAGCAGTGGTAATGTTGCTTTATGTGAGATTCAATCTGACCAATTAACTGCTTTCCAGTTACAAATAGAAATTTGTTTAGTTTGTGTTGTGTAGCATTTTTGGCTGTCAGTGGACTTGTTTGGTGTTGCCAGTTTGATGATTGACTTTTTTAAAACCAAACTAGGATTTTTGTCACGAATTTTGCTGCTGAATCAAGTTCAGCTGTTGCTGAGAAACAGTTTAAGTAGTGTTAGATCTTTTTTATTTTATGTATAATTCAAGTGATCTTGATGTATTTGTTTTGTTTTCTTCCTTTGCTTATAGGGTGAACCGAGCTTCCATTTATTTGGGTTCATAATATGTGTGGCAGCAACAGCTGCACGAGCCTTGAAATCTGTGTTGCAAGGAATTTTGCTTTCTTCTGAAGGGTATGTATAAGGAACGTGCTATTTCCCTTGTTACTTTGTTTTCTTCTGTTTGTCGGGTTTTGTTTGTTGGATAGGTCCTGATATCCTTCTTATTGTATATCAGAGAGAAGCTGAATTCTATGAACCTGCTTCTTTACATGGCTCCAATGGCTGTTGTTTTCCTTCTTCCTGCTACACTTCTAATGGAAGAAAATGTGGTTGGCATTACATTGGCTCTTGCCAGAGATGATGTGAAGATCATTTGGTATCTGCTATTTAATTCAGCGCTTGCTTATTTTGTCAACCTGACCAATTTTTTGGTCACCAAACATACCAGTGCTCTTACCCTTCAGGTATGCCTCGCTTATTCATACTGGCACAGTTCCTTTTTCTTTTTTTCTTTTTTTTTTTTTAATTTTAAATTTAACATATCTGCTGTCTTTTTAGTTGGAACATCAAAATTTTGTGGTTGTTTTACACAAGTAGTTGTCAATTCACTGGATATTATATTCAGCATGTTGTTGTTTGTTTAAAATAAATTCTTTTTTTATTTGTTCATTTTCATAAGTTCATCATTTGCCTCCTGCTGTGATTTATCTTGTTGCCTTATTATATTTTTATATTTCCTTAAGAATAAAATTCTTTGGAAGAAAATTTACAGAAGGTCATCAGAGTTTCTAAATAGTCTGTAATTTGTAGTCTTGTTTCTCAAAATTGACAAGTAGTTAGTTTTGTCTATTTCATAAGTAATTTGAACCTATTGGAAAAAGGAGTTCTCGGATTGCTGCTGAAAAGTTTCTGCTGGATCTCTAAAACTAGTGCTAGGACAGAATTTTGAAATACTACTATTGCTATTGACAGGTCACAAGGAACAAGAGCTAATGATGCCAAATTTTTTAGTGGAATTCTGTAACTGAATTTTAATTATTTGACTTGGCGTTGCTGTCAGTGTTCACTGCTCAATGACATTTAAGGTGTTATTGATTCAGTTCATTAGATTTCTTGACTAAATTGACTAATAGCTGTATAGCTTTTAATATATTTAAAAAATAGTTTCTAGTCCTGTTCTTTTTGAAGGGTGTGAATAGTTTCACAATATGCCTTTTAGATTAGTGTGATTCAATTGAGTTCAGTGGTAAGATGTAGATTTTTTCCTGTAATCCAGTATTTGATATTTGTTTAAAATTGAATGCTCTTGTAGGTACTTGGGAATGCTAAAGGGGCTGTAGCAGTAGTAGTTTCAATTCTGATATTTAGAAACCCAGTGTCAGTCACTGGAATGCTAGGTTATTCACTCACAGTCATTGGAGTTGTACTTTATAGTGAAGCCAAAAAGCGAAGCAAGTGATACTGATGTTGTAACACATGATTATTGGGAAGTCAGCACTGAATTCCCTATATTTTGTTTTCATCACTGCACAGACAGCCTCAAGATTCCATGAGGTAAATTTGTTAGCATGATCGTGATCAGAATCCGGATGTTTCAGACTATATACAATTTTTTGACTCTACATGGAAAGCCTCATTAAACGGGTTCCCCATTGTATTAGCTCCTGTGCAGAAATAGCCCACAGTACAAAATCTCAATAAGTGACTGATCTCTCTACTATACCCATATTGGCATGTGCGAAGAATGTATTTTTGTCATTTATTCTTTGAAGAAAGAGTTGTAGAATTGGATCTCCACTGATTTGTTGTTTACATTGCTTGCATTTGTTTATTGATGGTAAAATTCGTAATTTTGCTCATGGCAAAATTTGTGTATTACCCACCCAAAAAAATTATGTAGTGTAGTTTTATTTTTTGAGAATTTATCTATTCAAAACTAGAAAATTATACAACTACGTGTAAGAATCAGCCAGGTATTCCGTTTCATTAGGCAAGTATATTTGGATTGGCTTATCTTGTGTCTAAAACAGCTTATAATCATAATTTTAGTGAGTTTCTTTTTGTTTAAAATTTTAACCAAGTCAAATATGTCATGCCTTTGTTTTATTTTGAGCAAAGGGAAGACAAACTGGGATGCGCCAGCAGCATCATACATGGATTACTAGATTGGTCTACGCCGATTCCTCCCTGCTTAGTTACAGCTCTAATCTTTGCAACGAGATGTTTCTTCGTTTGGAATTTTCTGCACATCTGATTCATTTCGTTTGCAATTTTGTTTTTTAGTTTTTATTAAAAGATAAGTGCAAGTATCGAATGTTTTTGGCAAACCTATGGATGCTTTATGGACTACAAAACTACCAAAAGTGATTTTAATAAGCAGAATTATATTATACGTAAAAGATACTAGCTAATTAGAGAATTTTTCTTTGGCCTTACTTTTTCTTCTTCTGTGAAATACCCTTTTATCTAAATCCATATACATAACTCATACAATATTCTGAATATATGTATTCTATGTGAAGATGCAATCTTTTAGCCATTTTGATAAATAACTTTAAATCTCCACTATTTTCTTTCACAATGACTTGAAATCTGATTAAAAAATTAAGCTCTTTTTTTTTCCCCTTCAAAGAATTATAAAAATAAAGAAAAAAAAATGGAAAGTTATATGATACAAAGATTGAAAAACCAAGCCTTAAAAAATTATAATCTAATTCTTTTACCATGATCTTGTGTTTAACTTAATAGCAGCTGGTTCTTTGTTTGACATCTTGAACCCCCAGTCTAACAGTCCTACTTCCATATCAAGTGTTTGTTAGGTTGGCAGCCAAAATCAGTATCATACAACGTGACATACGTTTCAATGCAAAATTTAAAAAGCACACATTTTAATTATGTTCAATGAATCAATATTAATTTTAACAAAATTTAAAATATCATCTTGTCCTGTATTCTAATCAACCAATATTTCACTATTAATTTTTAATGTAAAAAAGAAACTGTTTGGTGTTAAATTAGACACCAAATTTCAGTGGATTCGAAAGAAGGGGTACATAATGACCCCAAAAAAACGAAAGAGGGGTACATAGAAAAAAACGAGGGGGGACATGAACTTAACTACTTAAGATAAAACATCAAGCAAATCACCTTTTTATTGCTGAATGTGCATTGGATAAACACATCACACACTATATATTGCATACAAGTGACGCCACGCGCATGTAAAGTAAATAAGAAGGGAACAAATCATGGTTGGTAGAATCAAAATGAAAAACACACAAACACTTGCTCCACAGACAAAAATACAAAGTGATAAACAGCACCAAGATTCAAGATTGTGGAACAGGGGTTGCGGCACGTTTGATTGATGCAGACTTAATAAGATGATTATAGCTCCCCTTTTCCTTAAAAAGCTGGGAGAAATGGTGCTTGCAATACAAAACACCCTCAAGGGCTGCATAATTTGATGGCGTTATGGGACAGCCACCATGTGAACACTTGAAACATGATTTGTGATAGGCCTGACCTTCTACTGTTACCTACACTCAACACATGAGATACACTTATACAAGATAACAAGAAAACTTAAATCTTCTAATTCATACTAACTGTGAAGACAAATAACAAGGACTAATTAGAATCATTATTCACTCAATCAGAGAATTTTATACAAATAAATTTGCTTGAGGTTGGGAAAGTTGATCATAATGAACAGTGAACACTTACTTATATGATATAACCAGTATTATGTAGAAGGGGTGTTTATGGCCCCTAAAATGAATATCATCAAATAATTTGTTTATGAAATTTCTGAATCCTACCTTTTCCAATGGATAAGCAGTTTTGCCACATGTAGCACACTTTTCTTGGGTCCCAGAAAACATGCTAGCAGCTTTACTAGGGGACCTTGTCTAAACAAAAGATGTCAACAATAAGCAGAAATATCAAATGCCATAGACCCTTTTGTAAATTGCTCAATCACAATGAAGTTTCAAAAATACAATTTTATGATTTTTACCAGCTCAGGAGTCGTCTTGTCGGCTTGCTTTGCAACTATTCAAATTGAAATCATCACCAATTATATTGGTAACCAATTAAAAAATCACAAACATTCTCTATCTTTGAAGAAGAAGGAATAGAAGACATACTTGACTGGAAGTTCTTCTTGAAAGTGCCTGTCTCTTTAAAGAGCTGCTCATAATGAGGCTTACAGTAAAGAACACCTTCCATGGAGGAATAGTTGCTCAGCTGAAACATGAAGATGATGAATAACCATGGGTCTAAACAGTGAAACTTAAATACTCAAAATTTAATCCAAAATCTGTTCAATATAATAAGAACTGATTAATGTCATTTCACAAACCAAGAAACCTTATCCAATATCATTATTTTCTTGTGGGAATCTTTAAGCAAGTATCTTTAGCCAAATAAAAAAAAAAATGGAGAACAAAATTTTGAGGCAAAGAAAAATGTTCAAAAGGCATTAAACCAACAATGCAGCTTAAAAAACAAAAGCAAACAAATAAAAGAAACGACCTTTAAGGTTCCTTTGCAATGAGAGCACCTGAAGCAAGCTTTATGGTATGCAGAGCCATCAGCAGATAACTGATCAACGGGATAAACCGTTTTGTCACAAGCCTTACACTTTTGTTGGGTGCCAATAAAAGACATCGCTCTCTCTCTCTCTCTCTGAATTTTGGATCCAAGTTCACCAAACTCACCACCAAAACTTCAAAATGCCCAACTGTAGTGGATGAGTGGATCGGTTTCCAACACGATGTACCCTCTTAGATTTATTTCCCTTTTACAATAACCTCAACTGCTACAGAATTAAAAACAACCCAGTAGACAAAAGTTCATGTTAATGTCAAATTGAAAGATAAAAATTATCTGTCTATAGTATATATACTCTATAGTGTGTTTAGTTGCAGGAAGTCTTCAACAGATCGAGTAAAAATGTACACATTTGTTATGTACCTTGTTGAGAGAAAAGTGAGAAATGGTGGATCTGGTGAGGTTGTGAAGAGACACATACAGTTCAAGGCTCAGTTAGCACTCAAAACTGAGGAGGAAGGGTATGAATATATGAAATTGATTGATAACAGATGAAATGATTATGAGTAATAAACATAATGTCAAATAATATGTTAACCAGTATAACTATTTGGGGGATAGAATACAGATATCTTTGCTGGCTCCACTGTCAGCTTGTGTCTCCTCCCATGAGAAAGTCAATGGGACCATGCCCAACAACTCACAGCTTCACACACTTTTTTTAGGAGATTTAACAGTGTTCTTACTTCTAATTCTTTGACATTAGTCTTGATACTACCAGTTAAAAAGCACACCTTTTTGCTAAATGAGATCGAATATGGTGGTCTTTAGACAAGTAGTTTAGCTAAACTTTTAATCAGCACATTCTTTGTAATATATTTTACATGAATTTGACAGTAGAATTTATTTTAATAAGTCATATTAAAATAAACTAAAAAACTAATAAAAACTATAACTTATTTTAATAAATTTTAATTAATAATTAAAAATGTGTTAAAAAAAATATAGATTTCATTTTCTTTTCTCTGAGCACTCCTCTTGTACTGATTTAATTGGACGGATTGGGCCTGTGACAGGGATTTTAATTGGCTGCTCTTTCGAGAACTTTTTCTAAATACACATGCTATGCTTCAGTTCCTCCAAATGTTCCGTTGCTGTCATGTCTATGCATAGCTTTTGACGTTTAAAGAAAAATTTAAATATAGAGTGATAAATAAAACTTTTAAATTTAAGTTAAATAAAAAATTTATATTTAAATATAAATTTTTTTAAATTTATATTAATATAAAAAATTATATATATATATGAAAAGAATTTTTTTATATTAATATAAATTTAAAATTTTTTATCTTTAATCTGAATGTTTTATTTAATTTAAATTTAACGGTTAATAAAGTAATAAATTATAATTTGTTAAATTTAAGTTAAATAATTTTTTTTAATTAAATATAAAAATTTTTAAACTTATATCAAGGTAAAAAATTCTTATTATATATATATATATAATAAATATTATTAAAAGTTAAAATAGAATTTATCAAGCCGATATGTGAATAATATCTTACATGTGAATATAAGTAAAAGATTTTTTTTAAAAAAAAAAACTTGATATTAATAATACTTATATAAATTGGGTTAATAGATTATGTCCATATTTCAAAGTAAAAAGAAATTGAATTTTTATAAAAAATTTATTTTTATTCATATTTTTTATAACTCTTTTTAATAATTGAAATAGAAATAAAAAAATAAAAAAGGAATGTAAAATAAGATAGATACTGTTAAGAAGACATGAAAAGAAAAATAAGATAACAAATATAAATATAATTTTAAAAACAGAACAACTCAATTATGATTACGCAATGAAAGTACTAATACTGTTGGATGGTTTGAATGCCTCGATAAAAATAATAATAATTTGAGTTTTATATATTTATACAAACTTTTTATATTATTTTTTATTATAATTATTTTTTATTTCTTTACATCAGATTATTCAAATTATTTTATATTTCACTTTATTTTCTTTTTATTGTAAAAAACAATTAGTATACAAATGAAGTACAAATGGAAATGAATTTTGGGTATTGATATTTTCATAAATAAATTGTTACATGCATCACTTTTTCTAACTATAAGAAAACAAAATTAATTCAATACACATATTGTGTATCTTCTATTTCCCAAACAAGTAAAATATAAACACGAAAAAATCAACAATTTCGATACACAAATAACATTTTTGAAAGTCTCACTCGATTAATTGAAGTCAAACAAACAGACAAACAAAAGCGATTAGCCTAACACGTTTATTATGTCATGCAATCGAATAAAAATTGTTTATTAATAACAACTGAGTCCCCTGCATGTCTTGCTGTCTGGAATGTAAATCACAAAACCATATATATTACCTGTGAATTATGAGAGAGGCGGGCAAGTTCTTGATTCTTGCAGGTTGGCTAGAGAGACCATCCATGTATAGTTGTGAAGACTCAGATATCAAGCATTTATCCACTTTTGACATTGCAAAAAATTACTGTTATGTTGGAGCCACTATTACATTTGATATAGTTGTGAAGGTTATGTTATGGCCACAAATTTAAACTCTGAACACCGTTCATTGTTGATCACAAACAATTAATAACCTCCCACTTTTTAACATTGCTTGCTCAAATGAGCATCTCAGCCACTAAAACACACAATCATGATGATATGCATGACAACACCAAGTGTGGTTGGAATACTCATTTGAGCAAGAAACATTAGAAAGGGAACTTCATCACCTTATATATCTTCCTCTCCTGGAAAAATACATTGTTGTAACCACAAAAAGCCACCAACAGCTTGCTATATGGAAAACTATTTGAAAATATGAGGGTTGGCCCTTAATGACAGAGACACGAAAATCCTTTTATTTAAAGGGGCTACGAGTATGGTTGACATTTGACAGTTAGCTTAAGATTTTTTTGAATAGAAAGACTTAATAGTTTTAGGTACTCACAGAATGGTAGCTAAAGATGGTTCAAGCCCAACAACCAAAACCCATGCATGGCACTCAATTTTCTGCCTTTTATTATTTTTTTACCTCAGAATTTTGATTATATTTTATGTCTAAAAAATGAAAATGATAAGAAAAAACTAATGAACAATTGAAATTTAAGATAAATAGATAATTGGAATTTCTTTTTTGTTAGTAATTTAACTCTAATTTAATGAAATAATTTATTTTAAAAAATGAAATTTAAGAATAAATCAGGATAAAATTAAAATTAAATTGTTTAGAATGAATTGAGAAAGATTAAATGTTTTTTGCTCTAAAGAAAACAATAGCTAAAGAATTTTCTTAAAGAAATTGAGGAACATAATGAAACATGTAAAGAAAAGTTGATAGAGCACATGCTTGCCTCAAGGTGGCTCAAGTCATACCCACTGTAGAGCACATGCCGTCTCCCCAGCTTCCGGATTTGGTAGGAAAATCCTCACTTCATCACCTAAATATAGGATACTACCAAACCAAATAAACCATGTTAGCTTATCCTCAATCCTCATCAATACATAGTACAACGACTTATCCAAGGATTTTTCTTCATAAATCATAGATTTTTGCTTAGGTCTATATATTTAAAAAGAGAGAAAGAAAATGATAAGTGATATGCTGTAATATAAAGAAAGATAAAAATTATTTAAGCGTTTAGAAACTAAAGTTATTTATAAAAATATGAAAAAAGTTAGACTCGTGGAGCAGCGGAGTGTGCCCAATCTTAGCCACATGGTTTGCTTTTACATACGACGCCATTTCAACTGTTTTTTCTCTCTTAAATAATATAGTATCCATATTCTCTTAATATCTTTGTTTAATATTTTTTTTTACTATTAAATCTCATACAAAAAATATGATGGATGCAAACAAAAAAAAAGTATAAAAAGTGATTCGAATGCGAGCAATTATTGAGTTATTCGAGGCCATATAATCCCAGCTACTGATATCTTATTATATGTATTTTTTTTTATGAATTATAAAATTTATATACTTAGATTAATATAATTAGTCGGGGTGATATGATTGGTATAATTTTTTTATTGTCTGTTACAATTTTCATAAACTTTAAAAAAATTCTTCTTAAATCAATAATTATATGATTATTTTAATATTATAAATATATATATATTTTTTTGCTAATCAACAGGCTAAAACCCTAAAACAAACTAACTAACTACTAAATCTACACCAATAGATCTTCAAAGAGTCCAGCCTCAAAAGAAGATTCAAGGAAGGGAGGATTTCATGAAAATAAAAGGAAGAAACCCCATACTTAGTCTCAATCTTAGCCAAACAGTCTACACATTGGTTTGCTTCCCTAAGTACATGACTAAACCTAACAAACTTAATACTTCTAAGGAGATGCTTAATTTCCTGAATTACAAAAAATAGAAGATGATTCCTATTCTGAATTTTCGTAATTAAAGAAATGGTATCTTTACAATCACTTTCAATCCAAATAATATGAATGTTTTTGGAAATGACTAATTTGAGGCCCCAAAAGATTTTTCAAAGTTCAGTAGCAAGAGGGGAACATGGTTGGAGGAAATTGCAAAAACCAGCTATAAATCTTCCCGTGTGATCATGTATAAGGCCACCACAGCTAGCAGTCCTCTGTTTATGCACATTCAATTTGAAATGCTTGTCCAGGGGTGGCTGCCATCTTATCAGATCTGGAGGCTTCCTATAATGAGCAAGAGATTTCAAATTACCCCTGCCACAAAAATAAATGAATTCAATTTCATGAATAATCTTGTTCAATAGGGCTTCATTGCTTAAGAGACCATTCTGGACCACAACACAATTTCTATTATGCTATAAATTACAAATCACAATTCCAAACAAAATATGCCAAATGTAAGTGAAAATTAATAGCAGACAGATTAAAAACAAGCCAATTATGAAGACTCAAGTTGAAGAAAGAAACCCCTTTATCTGGGGGAAGTATTTTAGACTAAATCTGTGATGCAAACCAACAATCACGGAGAACATAGATCACTGTTTCAGACGCCTCATTACACCTGGTATACAAAAAAGAGTTAGTCATATTATGGTGAAATCTCTCAACATTAGTTAGAAGTCTCCCATGAACAACTTTCCACAATAAAACAACAATTCTATGGGAACCTTTCCAGTCCCAGATTAGCTTAAAAATTTGATTATTATTACTCCTCTTATCATTAGTTATAAAGGAGAGTATAGGTTGAACTGATAGAAAATAAAGCATTGCTAATCAATCTCCAAAAAAACTAGTCCTGGGCATTAGTAATTTTGGGAAGGTCAATTTTAGCAATTATATCACAAACAAAATCAGGGAGAACCTGCTTAAGTCTCTATCAATCTCAACAGCCATTATGAGAAAAAAAATAGCTATTAGCTCTTTCAACTCCTCATAATTAACTGATTGGGAAGCATACCTAGATAAATTAGGAATACTATAGAGCTAATGATCCTGTCAAAACCTAACTATCATACCATTACTCAAAATCCAGCCCAGACCTTGATAAAACCTATCCCAAACATCCAACATACCTTTCCATAAATAAGACCCAATCTTGCAATTGATACAAACCTAGAGATTATCTAAGCAAAAATTATATTTTTGGTAAATCACTTGAGCCCATAAGTCATTTGGGGATGTTATGAGCCTCTAATAAAGTTTCATTCTAAAAGCTTGATTAACTAAGTAAATATCTATAAAACCCAAACCTCAAGTTTACACATAATCTTCTAATTAATTAGATGACACTTCCTCCCATTTAAAGAATCCCAAATAATCTTTTTACAGATTTTATCAATTTCCTTACAGATAGCTATAGGGATAGAAATAGCTTCCATAAATAATTAAGAATACTCATAAGACAAGATTGAGTAAGAGTAATCCTACCAGCCATAGATAGAGAATTCATTTTCCAAATAGAAAGTTTCTTTCTAATTTTGTCAATAATGAATTTAAAGTCCTGTCTATTAGGTTTTAGATGGCTGATAAAAATTCTCAAGTAATTACCAAACTGATTAGACTTCCTAAAACCTAATCTAGTGCTAAGGTCGTGAGTAAGGGCAGAATCACACTCATTAGCAAAATATACAGAAGATTTATTTAAGACTTCAAATATAGTATCAATATTTTGTTGATAAGCTTTAACTATTAAAATGATGTCATCAGCAAACATGAGATGAGATATTTTAGGCCCCTTATTACTAAAGGAGAAAGGCACCTAACTACTATTTTCCACTCTATCCTGAATCAAGTGACCTAACCTTTCAATACACATAACAAAAATATAAGGAGAAATAAGATCTCCTTGTCTAATTCCTCTATTAGGCCTGAAAATGTCTGTACTATTATTATTCTAATTAATAGATAAAGATGAAGAAGAAATGCAGAGATTTATTAAAGAAAAAATGTTGGAATTAAAGCCTAAAGGTTTTAGAGTTTCAGAAATGAAGTTCCACTTAAGTTTGTCATGAGCCTTTTCTAAATTTATTTTAATAATCATAAAGTTATTTTTATGAAGTTGACTATTCATGGAATGAACAAACTCTTGTAAAATTAGGGTATTATCAATTCTCTACCTTCTAAGAATAAAACTGGTTTGGTTAGTAGAAATAATGTAAGGAAGGACCCCCTTATTCTATTAGCCAGCAACTTGGTTATGATCTTATAATTAACATTGCACAAAGATATGGGTCTGAATTGTTTAATATTTTCAGGGGCATCTAATTTAGGAATTAGAGAGATAACAGTATCATTCACCTCATAAATATTCATAGGGTTACTAAACACAGCAGAAACAAACTTAAAAATAAAATGGGCCAAAAGATCCCATTAATCCTTAAAGAAAACAACATGCATTCCATCTGGGCCAGGTGATTTAAAATTTTCTATACAAAATAAAGTTGTTTTAACCTCTTCCATTGTAGGATTAGAGTTTATCAATTACAGATTAGTATTCCTAATAGGAGGAAAGGTAGAAATTGTTTCAAGATTATTACTTACAGGACAAGAATCATAATAGATATCCCTAAAATACTTTATTACCGTATTTTCCAGTTTAATGGGATCAAATTTCCACTCTCCCTTATCATTCTTAAGGGCCTCAATGTAATTGGCTTGTCTACGAATGGTGACAATTTTATAAAAAAGACTATTATTTCTATCACCTAAACTGATCCAGCTAACTTCATAATGTTGAAACCAAAAGGCTTCTTCAAAATACAGAATATGTTGATATTCTAGCCACAAGGATTTTCTGAGATTGACTAGGAAATGGTTATGTTTAACATCTAATTTACTAGAGATGCTCCTAATCCTATTAAATATCCTTCTTTTCCTTTTAAAAATGTTACCAAAGACATTCAAGTTCCAATCAGAAATATTGTTTCTAAAGTTATTTATGTTCTCATTCCAAGTTTTAGATAGGATCCGGGACTTCTTAACTTGATTTTAAAAATCATCACAAGTTAACTAATGAACTAAAAATTTAAAAGATTTGTTACACTACATTGGTTGATCCTTCCCTCTAATTTTTAACCACAGAGCTAAATGATTTGACTTTAGAATAGGGAGGTGAATAACAGAACTATTAAAAAATAACATCATCCAAGAGTCATTTACCACAACTCTATCAATTCTCTCTTTAATATCACCCTTCTACTAAGTGAAGAGATTTTCTTTAAATTCTAAATCATGGAGCCCACAGATATTAAGACATGCAGCAAATTAATTAAGAAGATTTATATTAACAGGTCTGCCCCTAGATTTTTCTTTTTCAAGGAGAACAGAATTAAAATCACCAACCAAACACCAAAGGCAGTTTACAGTAGAACTAAAGTTAATAAGAGACTCTCAGCATTGAGCTCTAAGCCCTTCCTATGGGCTGACATATACAAAGGACATGACCCAATAATTTTGATCAAACTTAACCCTTAAGTGAATAAAGAACTTATTCTTTTCTAATATATCAACCTTAATTCTCCTAGAATTCCAACAAACCTAAATTTCTCAAGAAAAACCCAATGCATCAACTTTTACGCAACCATCTAGATTAAATATTTTAATAACTGAGTCAGCTTTGCTAAGGTTAATTCGTGGTTCAAAAAGGGCTAGAAAATTCAAATGGTGGATCTTAATAAGGTCATTAATAAGTATGGGGAAAGTCTTTTCTCCAGCACCCTTACAATTTCAAAAAAAGCAATTCATGAAGTCAGTTTTTAAGATTGTATGCATCCTTAGGATGCTGGGATAATCCTACATTATCAGATTCAGAGATATTGTTGTCAGGGATATCAAACTCTTGATTTTTTCCTATATCTAAGTCTATTAAAAGAGACCTATCAGGTAGTCTATCAGTAAAGTTAAGATAGAAAATTTCCTGTTCTTTCCAAGTAAGGTCAGGATTAAGACCTATAATGGCTTGAATGTTATGACTAAAATTTTTATTCTTTTCTAAAATTTTTGCATAAGTGCTCATTAAAAATATAGTTTCCTAGTCCTCCTTACAAGGTTGGTATACCTATGTAGTTTGATCCTTATTTATGATAATGTCTTGGTTTGGTATAATATCTTAGAAATATAAAAATATTTATGAGTTTTTATGATAGACTACTAATTTCATGTTTCGTCACTTTAATACCACAATTTGCTTTCGAACTATTACAAAATTGAGAAAAATATTCCGCATCAGGTGACCCTCTTTCCGAATCTGTTTAGAAGTATCTGCTCCTATAACTTCTGCGGGCACACACCTCTCATTTATATAAACTGGATTATAAATGCCCCTATGTCAAATAAAGAAGAAATTGGACAGCGATGAAATATTTATTTATGCTTTTATTCAGGTCCATTTTTAAGGTTAAATTTATATATCTAAACTTTAAATAAAAAAGATATCATTTCTTATATTGTTATATTTTTAATATGATAAAAATTGTTAATAAAATGTTATATTTTTTATATTTAAATTCAAATAAAAAAAAACTAACGTTAATAGAAAATATTTATAATTGAAAGAAATAAGAAAAAAAGAAAACATTGAGATAAGCTATATGATCTAATAAAAAAATTATAAAAATCGAACAACTAATTATGATCGCATGGAAGGAAAAAAAAAACAAACATTATTGGAATGGACGATTTACTTGTCATGATTAAGAATAATAATTTTAATACATATTTTTTTTTTAGATTCCTTTTTTATACAATTTAATTTTTCTATTACATCATTCGCCTGTTACACTAACCTGTAGTTTCTTCTATTTTAGTTTTAGTATAAAAGTGTTGTAAGTAAAATTTTTAAAATGAGTTTTGCGCATCAATGTTTTCACACCATTATTACACTGATCGTTATTATTAAACAATAAGAACAGAAACCAATCCAACACACATAATCTAATAAACTAATTTGATGCACAAAAAACATTTGTGAAAATCTCCCTCTATCATGCAAGGTCAAACAGACAGAAACGAAAACGATTAGCTAACTCGTTCATCATCATGCCATGCAATTCAATAAATATATACAAATCTTGATTATTGAAGAGAGACCCTTTCTCCTCCATATATAGTTGTAAAGAGACATAATACAGAAAATAAAGATGAAGAGTGACGGAATGATATCATAAGTATTGATAACTAAAATCACAAATAACAAAAGTAGCATGAGGAAAGAAGAGCGCACACACTCACACTCACATTCCAAAATTCTCTGTAACTAACTCGCCTTTCACACACTCTTCTCTTCCACCATGTTTCGCACAACCTTCTTCACACTCTCTCTCTACCTCCTCTCACTCCTCCCAAGAAGCGCCTCGCTTCCCACAATCGGAGTCACATACTCCGCACCCACCACCTCCCCACAACAAGAACACTCCACGGCGCCGCCGCCACGCATCGCCGCCGCTATGGAGAAGCTCAACCTAAGATCCCTCCGTCTAGAAGAACCCGACCCGTCCATCATTCGGAGCCTTCTCTACACGAACACCACCGTCTTCCTCACCATCCCAAACTACATGGTTATCCCAATCGCCGCTAACCGCTCGGTAGCACAGAGCTGGCTGTACACCCACGTCGTTCCCTTTTATCCACGTGTCAAGATCACAACCATCTCCGTTGGCAACGCTTTCCTCGACGTGTACCCGGAATCCATTAACAGCCTCCTCCCAGCAATCTCCAACGTCCACGTGTCCCTACGTGACCTCGGCATTCGCAAGATCTCCGTGTCCACGTCATTCTCTTTCGTCACCGCACTGTCATCTCCGTTCCCTCCCTCCACCGCACAGTTTCAAGAACCACCCGGCGTAACCCTAATCGGCCCTCTCCTTCAATTCTTGCACGACACGAATTCCTCTTTCTTGATCAACCTTTACCCTTACAATCTCTACCGTCTCAGACCTGAGATCCCTCTTGGCATTGCGCTTTTCCAAGAACACCCTTTCAACTTCCGTGACGATTTCACCACCGGCGTTCGTTACCGGAATCTATTTGATATTATGGTTGATGCCGTCGTCTCCTCCCTCGCTGTCGCCGGTTACGAGACCATCCCCGTCGTCGTGACGGAGACCGGGTGGCCAAGCACCAGCGCCGCTGGGAATGAGTTCGACGCGAATTTGGGGTACGCCGAGATCTACCTCAAGGGTCTGGTGAAGCATCTGAAGTCGGGAGTGGGTACGCCTCTGTTGAAGGATGGTGTGCGTGAGGTTTATGTGTACGAGATGTTTGATAAGGAAGGAACGGGAAGAAATTGGGGGGTTCTGTACCCTAATGGAACCGCTAAGTACCGTGTTGATTTTTCCAGTTCCTCTGGTTTTTGTGTGAATTTGGCGGTGATGATGTTTTTGGTTTTGGTTGTGTGGATTTGTCATCAGTAGCAGTGTGCATGGAAACCCTAGCTAATTGGAGGAGTTTGAACGTGAATGCATGTACGTTGTAATTTTTGTGTTTTGTAGTTGTTGAGTTCGGGGATTTGTTAATTAGGTTTTGCGTTGTGTATGAAGAGTGACGATGATATATGATCATGACACGTACTGACTAATGTTACTATTGAAAATTTGTTAGTGTTCATATTCTGTAGAGAGTTTTGTTAATTGTAATCGTGTCTGTGATAAGGTCAATATCTCAATGAAGAAGTATGGACACCGATTCTTTTGTTTTGTGATAGAATTTTGACAGATGAATTCAAATGAAACCATCTCTTTCATTTGCATCCTCATGCAAAGAAAAACTTATTTGTTATTGTGACAGGAGGAGGTGAATTTGTTTGCAAATTTCCTTTACTTTGCCGCGTGCATGACCTATGAAAGAAAATATACACTTGTTTTATTTATGAAAGTGCTTTTCAGAGTTTGTTTTAGAATATTTAATAATTTTTTTTACGTACAAGTATGGTTATACTTACATTTTAGGATATATTTTAAATTAAAATAAATACACTTTGATGTATTTTACAAGTAAATTTACTTTAAAAGAATTAGTCTCCCAAAATTCGATGTTTTGTGTTTTATCCTTGTTCAACTAGTTGATGATGTGTTACACTTGGATGGACGGCAAAGAGAGAGTGGGCCGTAATAAATCTATTGCAGCATGAAATTGGTTTCTTGCCATGGTGCAATTAATGGGCTTATTTTGGGCCGGTCTATAAATAATATAACCCTCATTTTGTTTGACCCAATTAACAAAGCTGCTCCATGAAATGTGGACTAGCGCAATGTGAAAGTATGCAGAAAGTTTGGATAAGTATTTAAGGAATGATAAGATTCGGATGCTAACTGTTTTCTCGAGAAGACATATCCCGGGGCCTCTTAACAGTTGTTTGCCGTGCATCATTTCTAGAGCTAAGGTATCAACAATTTGCTGCTTCGCTTATTCACATTCCCCAAATATTATGTTCCAAAGTTGCATGCATTTCAGCGTACTTATGGCCTTGGCATTCTTTTCCTTTTCTATTTTTTAAAATCTTAATCTCATTTCAATAAAATCTTACAAACGAGTGTTATGACAGATCCAAAATAAAAAATGTATTTAATAAAAAAATCAGTATTTAATACTTTAAACTTGAGCAGTTTTATTTTATCTCATATGATCCATGTTTTTTTAATTCTAAAGATACTCTTAAAGACAATAATTCGTATAAAAGTTTAGTAAAATTCTTTTATAAGCAACATATGCATCCACGTGCAAGTCTGAGAGACAGATTGTTTATATTGCCCCTGAAAATCTGTTTGCTACCTCTCTTTGGCAGACAATGGACATGCAATTACAATATCCCTAATATGAACAATGCAAGATGCAGAGAATTAAACTAGTTGAGCAAAATAATCCATTATCCTATTATGTAGTGTGAAACTAACATCCAGCATCTATGCTCTTCTTTGCTGCTCAGATTTGTCACATATAGGGTCCGGAAGCAAAAATTTTCTTGTTCCTGTATCTGTAACAGTCAACGCATCCATTTGACTGCTTATGATACTTTGAATACGGAAACCCTTTTTCTGGATCACATTCCTTTGCCTAGAAAAACACTCACTCCCTTTGGTAGAATCTTCATCTTCTGCTCTGCAAAAATACAGATCATTGGTTGCATAAGATGCAGTTCTTACATATGTTTTTGGTATTGTCAGAACAGCCAAAGCTTATTCTTGTTGCCTCTCTTTTGTTTGGGGAAAGGATTGTTTGTAAACCTTAGTATAAGACCACCAATTTCAAACATGGTTATAGAATCCAGGATACATCAAAGAGAGATTAGAAAATAGAACATCCACATCTTGTTGACAATGAGTGGTGAGAAGCCTACCACAACACTACGTTGGTAAACTGATATGTAAGAAGAAAAAAATTGAAGCACTAAAATCAATTTGAGAATTTTGAAGCAATATAAGTGAAAGAAGGCTAGATTCTTTCAAAGTGAGGTTTAGATAAGCAAACAGAATTTGAGAACTTTCTTTAATCATTGCACAAAAAAAATGAAAGAAACATAATCGCAATACCTCATCATCAAGGTAGACCAACCTCTAAATCCAGCAGAGACAAGATGGTTGATAGTGACATTTTGGTGTGTTCCTTGCTCTCTTGATAACAAAATAATAGACCATCCACCAGCTTTAAGGTTTATGTATATTCTTAAAACAAGCAGGCGCTTTAAATTCGTTGCCTCTAAGATACAGTTGTTGATGCTGCTGTTATCAAACAATCCACACCAAAAGAAAACAGTGTCAAGTTACTGCTAAAAATATATGCTGATCTGCACCAAATTGGATAAGCTACTTTAAAGATGCATGACAACAACCAATGGACATTGCATGCATCGAAAGAAATATAAATTGGTAAACTGATGCAAGTTGGAGTGACGGGGAACGTAAAAGGCAAAAGGATTTATCAACACAATAAATGACAAAGTTCAGCAAGCATGTCACCAAGAATTTCCCTATAAAAGTATATCTTTAAAGTGAGGAAATGTTAACGAAAGAAAGTAGAATTTCTTTTACAGATGCTCAAAACTGAACTGATAAACATAAGATTCCTCCTTCAGGGAAATTTCCCTCAAAAGACACACCAGAATATGCTTGTGGTGGACAATTAAATTTAGAATCTGATAGCTCAGGCATGTTCAAAACAAACATGAACATAGGGCAAGCAGAATTAAAAGTATCTGATATATGATAAGATTACCTTTGGAACAAATTGGAAGAATGAAGATTTGGTGGAAAAATGCCATCTATGTCTATCAACACCACATCAAGACCATCATCTGATGGTCTAACATCGTTGAAATAATCCTCAATCACAGATTTGGTTAAACCCAAGTCTCTAGTATATTGACCTCCCTTGATATACTGTATGGCCAGTTCCTTGCAGATGTTAGGAAGATTATGTTCTTTTAAGTTATTGAGTTTAGCATGCAGAGAGTAAACCTTGCAATAACTGTAGTCATAATTTATTTTCGTAAGTTCAATAACTCCACCATGGCTACTTTGACAAGATTGCAGCATCATTGCCAGTGAAATAAGCAAAGTAATTAATAAAAGCCCAACAGCAGCTAATGCAGCTACAAGGATGGTTGCAGCAAAGGATGTGATGTAGAATCCTGATTCCAGCACAAAACTGCTCCTCACCTCTGTGACCAGGAAAGAAACGGGATAAATAATCATCAAGATTACACTAAAATAACAATGTAAAGGATGATTTAGAGTGTGTTTGGATAATTATTTATTTAAGCTCTTATTTAATGAGCTATACCAAGAAGTTTATGTCATAAATTTAATGATGAAACTTCTTGTAATAAGCTAAAAACAACTTATTTTAGTAAGTTATACCAAAAACTTATTAAGATAAGGTGAAAACGGCTTATGATCTTTTTTCATAAACTGTTCATAAGTTTTTCCGAACAGGCCCTTAAGCGGAAAGATAAGATAGCTGAGAACAAGCTTTGTATTGTTATTATCTGCCAGCAAAAGCATCAGATGAGTATAGCCTATAGGTCTATTAGTTGAACGTGGTCATGAATCAAATCTACTGCTGATAGTTACCAAAGTTGCAGCCTCTAAAATTAGGTGCTTCAAACATTTAATTAAGAATATTTTCATGGACAAGATTTACTATGGATGATGATAACAAAAGTGTAAGAGTGATAAAGCTGGCATTACATACCAGAACCACCAGGGAGACTCCGAGCAGAATACATCTGCTCCATTTGATGGCCATAAGCAGACATAACTTTAAGCTATACCTATCCAAGAATCCAGTTCAAGTAGCTCTTACAGCTTGCTTCCAGAAGTCAAAGGGGTATCCTAAAATTTTAGAGAAGTTTCAACCATCGTGACAAACAAATAAAACTCTACTGGATTACTAATTTACTATGCATGCTGCTTCTACACAAAATCAGAACTTACAAGCAAATACAGTGAACAACACCTTTTTTATTTTTCTTTCTAGCCCCACCCAAGTTCTTCACGAGTGAAGCATCTCAACACAAAGGAATGAGGAGATACAGGAAAAAAGTTTTCACTGATCAGCACAAGTAGGAGACTGTTTGGTTTTACGAAAATTTTGTGTTTCTACTTTTAATAACTGTCACCTTAATTTCATTCCATTTTCAAAGATTTGTAAAGGAAAAATTGAAAGAAAAAGGTATTTTCAATATTTTATGCACAAAAATTTGAAGAAAAAAAAAAAAGAATAAAAACAAGTTGACAGATTTGTAACTAAAAGTGAAAACAAAAAAATTCTCTGAAACCAAACAACCCCTCCTTTTCCATCTGAATTGCCTCTTCTGCTGCTATAAGCCCATACCTTCTTCATCAAAGCTGGGCATTCTAATCCCATCAACCTAAAATCCAAATTTCACCACTCAATGAAGCATCACCAATAAAGACAAGACATAATCACCCGATCCAATTACAGAAGATTCAAACTGTGTAGACCAAACTTTCAGCTGGGACACGATCTAAGGTGTCTAAACGTTCCCAACTGCATGGACTCTCAATCACCCACCGCACAGCAAACAACTCATCCTGGTTCAAATCAAAGGTGAAAGAAAAAGAGTAGAGACTGACCCAAAAATGCTGTTTCCGTGTGTCATATCCCAATTAGCGTCAAAAGTCAAGCCCCGTAAAAGATTTAACAAGGGACACCCTCTTGTGAATGCTGCAGTTAAACTGGAAAAGACATTATTATGTGTCAAAGTGAATCACGAAAGAAAGGTATTGAATGTAGCTCGAGAATTCCACATCATAGATATTATCTTCATGTGCCTTTCCATGATTAAAAGTGTGATAATTTCAACTAAAGACCAGTGAAGTCACTGTACTCGTTTTAATCTCCCCTTTCTCCTTTGATGTTATTGGTAAAATAAAGTATCATCCAACCGAAATAATTAACTTTGTCTAAATCCAATAACGTATTTTGTTAATTTAATCTTAAAAGATTCTACAAAGCGGTAAAAAGACTGGCAATAATGTTATCAAGAAAAATAAACAGAGAGATCACAAAGTATGGAATCTGGATCTTCCATTACACAACGGAGAAAGAAAATTATTATTTTTATTATATAAAAGTTTATCATAATATAATTGAAGATTTAATAAAAGATGTGTCATATTAACAACAGTTGAGTGATGAAATCCGTGTGTAAGTCACTGTCGCTGGTTGCAGTGGCATGATAGCAACCCACGAGGTTGCGTTGAAGACCGAATAAAACGCACATAAAGCCACTTGGCCATAACTCGTTGGTGTGGGGTAGTAGTGGCTAGATTCTAGATTCCACTCTCATCTATTCAACAATTTCAGAGACCCCCAAATTCCAGATGCTTCTGCGCTGAAGAATTTTATTTATTTTTTGTTATAAAGTGTTAATAATATATTCCTAACATCTTTTCTTATCAATTAAGGACAGCTTCTCTGCATACCGTTTATTTCATGCTTAAGAAATATTGTGTTTTAATATTAAGTCAAATTAGTTTTCATAAAATTATTAAAAATAATTTAAATATATGTTAAAAAATTTAAATTATAAATTAATAGCCTCCTTTTATCCCTATGCTAGTTATTGACGCTTTTTTATTTTTTATTTTTTATTTTTATCTAAACAATGGGATTTTAAAAACAAGTTTTTAAATTAATATTTTTTAGAAACTAATATTCTATTTATAGTCATTTTTATCACGTGCTAGGGACGCCAATCCTCCTCATTGCCCTTCCCCTTTGCCCCCTTCTCATTCTTCTCCGTTTGGCATTTTTTGAAGCTTCCCTCTCTCCCTTTTTGATATTTTCTGTCCAATTTTTGGTGCTTTTTCCTTGTCGTTTTGAGGCATAAAGCACATTTTTGCATTATTAATTAATATTATTACATCTTTTCAGATTTTAGAAAAAAAAAATATAGAATTAGTTGCTATGATTTTTAAGTGCTATGAATTATGTTTTCAGTTAATTTTCATCAACATTTTTTATTACTACACGGTTGGTGACACCGATCTATATTTTATAATTTATATTTTTTCAAATATAAAATAATTGTTAGAATTAGTACTTGTTAATTTTAGATTAATTTTGTAGATTTTATAATTATTTATATAATTTAGAGTAATTTTTATAATTTTTAATTTGTTAAATTATAATTTTTAATTATTAGTAAATATAATTTATAATAATTTTAGCTGACGTAAAATTTGAACAATTAAATTATTAATTATTAAATTTATTAAATTAGGAATTTAAGTGATAGTTTTATGTCATGTACATGTCACTTAATTTAATTATTACATTGATTAAATTAGGAATTTAAATAACTAATTGTTTATTCAACTATTAATTGTTATTGAATATAATTTATATTAATTTTTGGTGATGCATTTTCTCATAATTTTTTATTACTGAAATCTTAATTAATAGGTTGAATAAACTAATAATTTAATTAAATAATTATTTCATTTAAATATTAATGGTAATATCAAATAATTTATTATTTTGAAACTAACATGTATGAATTGTTTCTTTTTAATATTAAATGTTATTCAAAATGATTTATTAGTATTATTTGTTAAAATCTAATTTATAATTTATTTAAATGTATATTTACACTTTTTTTCACAATTTAATTTACATGGCGTCATTTTCGTCTCAAAATAGGTCATAAATCCATTTTCAAAGTACTAACTAATTAAATAAAATCACGTGATAGCCTCACTAATACAAATAACCAAAGTTATTTAATATAAAATAACATCCAATAATATAAAAAATTATAAAATATTTAATATTGAAGTATGATTAAAACAATTTTCTTAACCAAATATTATTGGAACAATTGCAAGATGCGGAAATTTGTCAATTTTGAATCAGATTTAGTCTCCCGTTCCTTTTCTTATGTTATACAAGAAAAAGAAAAGCATAATAAATGCTACCATTATTTATTTAAACTTTATTAAATTCAAAATTTCCCCCTTTTCTCCCCAGGAAAAGATTCTTTACTCGACAAATTACTATTACTAAAGCGAACAGAGGATGAAAACATGAAGTACCAACTATAAATCCCAAAAATGTGCTTTAAGGATTGTGACTGAAAAATATAATGAATTTGAATTATAATAATAATAACAGCTTAAATTTGAATTATAATAATAATAACAGCTTGAATTTGAATTATAATAGTATTAAATGGTTAAATTTTATAAATTGTTTAATTTAATTTACTTTTGTCAAAATTAATTCAACATAAATTCAGGGAAGAAAAGTTTAATTTCAAAATAGCCCAGACTGCGTTTGTTTTAGTCTTCTGAAGGGAAAATATAACTTTCAACCGATTTAAATACTAAAGATATTTGAAAGAGATTTCAAAAATTGTTATTTTGGAGTCAATAGTCAGATAGATACCCACAGCAGGAAAATATTGAATACCCACGTCAGCCCATTTTATTATGTAAGTCTGATACTTGGAACTCTACAATTTTCTCATCAGTTACAAAATCCATAAAATAATTCTATATCGCAATGTTTTTCATAATCAGGGGAAATCATGTCCTTTTTCTCTTTTCCTAAATGAAACACCTTATTTTAAAAAGTTGATATATCAACTAATGATCACTTGGTCAAATGATGGTGAGGATGCAAAATTGGCTATGCAGTAGTCTCATTAACTACTACTTAATATCTTCAGAAAAATGTTTCAATCACTTTCCTTCCTAGATCTTCATTTCCATTCACAATATTCACTGCATTTTCCACTGTTCTGGCCAATTCAACAGCTGCTCCAACGTAAGTATGAGGTGTTAACTTTAACAGATTTATCTTTGCTTCATTTGGAATATCTAAGCTTTCAATGAAATCTCTTATGCTATCTTCGGTAACTGCTCTCCCTCTGGTTAGTTCTTTTAACTTTTCATATGGCTCAGGAACACCATATCTTCGCATCACCTAAACAATTGCAAAGGACAAGAACATCAGAGATGTACAAATGAATCCAGCACACAAATGTTAGACATTTCATTCAAATCCGTCAGTAACTTTTACAAATTTAAAATTTTCTCACAGAAAAGGAAGAGTTTCAACATGGGGGCAAGCAATATTGGAGAAGTGAATAGTAAAAATCTAAAGCCAAGAGTGCCTAAATTTCTACAATTAGAATATGGAATTTCAGAAGTATATAATTAAAATCTAAATCCAAGTAGTTGATCAAGTATTGTAATTGGTACGGTGTTATACTTATTCTTAACTTTTTCCAAGTTCTCTCCTTTCCTTTAATTGAAACAGAAACAACATACTCCCATTTATAACTTAGCATCCTTATGGATATAATATTGATAAAAGACTTTACTCAAGTCAATCAAGGCCTTGATTGGATGCTAAAGTAAAAGGGTTATTCAATTTCCATAGAAAAGGAAAAATATTGAGTCCTAATTCAAACATGATTATGTAAAATACTACGGAACCAGAAGAAAGGCTTCAGTGATTGGTTATGATTAGCTAACTTAGGAAATCAGCTTTGATAAGAAAATGATGACAACAAAGCCAGGATTGAAAGCTAAAACTGGCACATTGATCCTCCATAAGATTAATTTCATCTCTAAAAAAATTTAGTGCAAACATTTTGAAGATTTCCTTTCCCTATTTTTTCACAGGCTTTGGGAACATTTAATTGAGTAGGCCTTTGCTCTCCCAAAGCATGTTGTTGACTTGTAAATTATACAATCATCAAAGAGTCTAGTTAAAAGAATGATTTGCTCGTTTTGTCTTACAAAAGCAGACAACTGTATCAAGTAAACCACAGAAAACTCAGGTATATTTTAAAAATTAAATATAAAATGAAAAAAAAAATCATGTAAAGCCAGAAGCCCAGAAGCATATACATACAGTCTGTATTGGTTCAGCGAGCACCTCCCAGCACTGGTTCAAGTCTTCACTTAAGCGAGCTTCATTAACCTAAATAGTAGATGATAATATTACAACAAAACTAAATGACACCACAAAAACCTACCGTCTTTTCTCTAGATTTAATAGAAAACGCGCGAATCTTGCTCTGTAGTTATGCAATTAGTCAGTGACTGAAACTTTGTATATGCATCCTGCTCAGATAATCAGTATATAAACTAATAGTTGAGATAACCAAACTCATAATGCTATATTTTCATTAAAAAAATAATGCACATGGTAAGAGAAAAGTAACATTAATCCCATGTTGCATTGAATACCTGAAGCTTCCCTATTCCTTGAAGTGTGCTTTTATAGGCAAGAAGGGAATGACCTATACCTACACCCATGTTCCTTAAGACAGTTGAATCAGTCAAGTCCCTCTGCAGAAAAAGAGAAAAAAAATGAATATAGCAAAAAAAAAAAAAAATACTCCCAAGAGCTACTCACAATTGGAATATCACAGCCGCTAAATTATTGTAAAAGCTCAATAGATTACAATAGCTCAGGTGAACCTTTCCACAGCATATCATGTGACAGGGTGTGTATGTACAGAAAATTACAGTAGTCAATTTCCAGAAGATTTATTAGTAAAATCCTCCTGCTATCATAGTTTAGAATAATAACAATACCAAAATAACCATAATAAAACAAAAAAGGCAAGAAATCAAAATAAAGTAGGTCTTGCCTGCCAACGTGAAATCGGCAACTTCATGCTGAGATGAGACAGACCTCCATTAGCTACTCCTAGATTACCCTCACTGTTCTCAAAATCAATAGGATTCACTTTGTGAGGCATAGTTGATGACCCAATCTCCCCAGCCTTAGTGGTCTGCACAAAACGTTTAGAAAATGAAAATATTATTGTCACTCTTAGAGTATAGCACCATACTCTGGTTATCAGAAAGCTCACCTGCTTAAAGTAACCCAAAGATATATAGCCCCATACATCTCTATCAAAGTCTATTAAAATATTGTTGAACTGGATGAGTGTGTGAAAAAGCTTTGCCATGTAGTCATGACTTTCAATCTGTTAAACAAGTGGAGTAACATAATCAGAAAGATACATGCAGTTACCATCTCAATAATAAGAAATGATCATGAAATAACAGTGCTAACTTAATTTTGATTTTATATGTACTCAAGATATAACTATCATACATAAAAGAAGAACTACAAAAGAATAAGTTTTGTTAACAATTAATGAAACATTGTAAAATAATGTAGTTGTACATACCAATAGAGATAGCATCAGTCTTAAAAACTATATGGCCGTTGACAACCACAAGTTTTAGTTTTTTAAATATCAAAAAGATGGGTTAAACCTGAACAGAACCAAAAATAAAAATTAAAAAATGAAAAGGCAAAGGCATACCTGAGCAACATAAGGATTGAAACTTAATCCAAGAGATTGTACAAACTGTTCTGCAACCTGAGGCCAGTCAACATTGGGATATGCAACAACATGTGCATTGTAATTTCCGACTGCACCAGCAAATTTCCCCAATATCTCAACCTGAGACAATTCCTTTCTTTCTCTGCTTAATCTCACAGCAAATATCGCCATTTCCTTTCCCAAAGTAGTTGGTGAAGCAGGCTGGTGAATAGTGCAGAAAAATTGCAAAGTTCAATCAAAATCGTTTAACAATGAACAACTAGCAACTGATAAGTGAAAGTACAATAATGCTAACAAATTGCAAGAGGTTTAAGAAAGAAGCTGTGTCTACACCTTCATACAGTTGCCAAAAACCAATTGTTTGTCACTGGATTTAAAATATTTTCAATAGCCCAATATTACAACCCACGATGATACACTGATTCTTAAATGTCAAACAAATGCACAAATTAACATACCTGTCCATGAGTGCGAGAGAGCATTGGAATATGAGCATTATCTTTCGCCATGTCACACAAAGCTTTAATTATTTCATCCATGACAGGAAACATGACAGAATCCACAGCTTCTTTCAGCATCAAGGCATGGGCAAGATTATTTATATCCTCAGATGTGCAACCAAAGTGGAAAAACTCAAGCACCTGTGAAAAGGTTTTAAAATGACCAAACCCATCAGAACTCATCATGTCAAAACAGAAAGTAGTTTCAATCCTCAGAGCCCAAAGAAACACATAAAGTGAATCTCAACCTTAGCCACTTCTGCATTGGATTGGCATTTCTGTTTCAAAAAGTACTCCACTGCTTTCACATCATGATTTGTAACCCTCTCAATGCTTTTAATCTCCAAGGCATCATTAACACTAAACTCATCAATCAGGCCTCGTAAAAAAGAGACAGCATCTTCACTGAAACTAGGAATCTCAACAATTTCAGGAATCTGAGACAGCTGCAGCAACCATTTCACCTAACAGGAAGAACATTAGAAAGAAACATTCCGAAGGAAGTTCAAAAACAGTGAACAAAAAAGGGTTCTTTAACCAAAATGGTATTCAAAACAAGGGGAATTAACAGAAGGGTACCTCAACAAAAACCCGAAAGTATATCAAACCATATTCACTCAAAAAAGGAGCCAATTCCTTAATTTTACCCCAATAACGACCATCCAATGGAGACAAAGCCGTCAAAGCAGAAAGCTCAAAATCACGGGAATGAGGTCCAAACATCTTTTTGGTAACCGTTGGTGAATGGGTGCTGATGATGGCCTTACAAGTGCAACCTCTGTGAGAAGAAGAAGGTAAAGAAGCATACCGAAAAGGAAGAGCGTGTTTTGATCTTTGAAGGTTTGTTGTAAGAGGGTTGAAGCTTCGAACTTGGGTAGCATTAGATAGTGCCATGAACTCCATGAAAGGTTTCGGAGGAAGAAACACGCCAACTCTTTCACGCACTCACACTCGACCCTACTGCAACTTCAACTTCAACTTCAACTTCATCTTCCTGGTAAAACACAAAACACAAACATCACTTTACTGTTCTGCACAATTTTTAATATTTTGTTTTTTATTTTACCCTTTTATTCCTAATCATGCGTATTAAACAAAGCTAAACTAACCTGACCCTTCCAATTTTGAAAAAAAAATTGAATTTTCAAGGCCCAAGGCCCAGATTCTTAGTCTGAACTAGAACTACATGTAAAGCCCAAAATCAACATACCTTAGCAATTCATTAGCCCGTTTGTTCCGTTCCTAATTTTACACAAAAATTTAAATTTTTTATTGTAATAAGATTTAAATTAAATTAAAACTAGTATTTTTAAAAATAAGATTAAATATTTAAAAAAATAAAGAACCATATTTTTAATATAAGAATAAACGATGTGTATATGAACTTTGTGTCAAGAAGTGTCAAGGCAAAAACATGAGTTATTTGGTTTTCGGAATTAAGCATATTATTTTGATTTGACAGCGTTAATTCAGGTCGTGCTACTAAATTAATGCCAATTCCAAAATTGTGCACAAATTATTCGAGTACCCTGGGAATTCCTTTGTCCTTATGCAGAACTTGACCCTGATCTTATCCACCCGTAAGTTTCGTACTTAACATTAATTACACAAATCGGTGATGGAAAATTATCCTTGCTTACGTCCTTTATTTCGGAAAAGGATGGTTTTTCTCCAACATTACCAGACATGACATATATAAATGAACGCTAGCATTTTCTATGACCCAAAATGATCAACTACTATGTTAAAGAGAAAAAATGATACACTGAGGAATGATGCAGAACCTCAACGTTGCTCATTTCTTGATGCATGACTTTGTTCCTTTTTAAGTAAAATGGGATGTAGGTGAGGTTAGGTAAATGGGGTATGGAGGGATGGAACCACACCACCTTACCTTGAACCACACAGCCCCTGGTGTCATTAGGCTAAAAGGCCATTGACAGTCATACATGCCATTCTTATATAGCCTTGTTTTGATATAACTTCAATGACAAGGTTCTTTGAATTTGGAAATTCAAGGTTCGCTTATCATGGTATGCTTTCAAAATGTCTTCGTGAGTGAAGATTATTGTAAAAGAAATAAGCATAGCATGGCATCCCCATCAGCTAAAGTCTAACTCAGACTATTTCTTAGGTCACCCCTAGCGGTTATTAGTTTTTTTGTCCTTTGCAAGTTGCGAGTATGAAGACATTATAAACATTTTGTAGTTTTTTTATGCACCACCGTGATTGACAATAGTTTATGATGAGGATCCATGTAATGTCAAGCATATATTTCCCTTTTGATAGTAAATTAAAATATATATCCGAGGTATATTTAGAATTAGAATATCACAGCTATTAAAGTCTTTGGAGTGGCCACAAAAAAAAAAAAAGGCATAAAATGGTGAAAACATCCAAGACTGGCCTTGGAGTTATCAGTCTAGAAATGAAAGTACCAGAACTGTTTTTGTTCTTTCATATGAATATGACAAATTTATCCTTGAATATCCCGATTAATTTCGTGAGATAGATGTTGCATTCATATAGTATAACAGTAATTATTTCGGTGTAAAAAGCTAGAGCTCAAGCTGTGATCTACTTTATTTTCAGCCAAGCATGTGTGGACTCTGCTTACATTTTAGTCAAAGTTGCTGTGACGTTCATACAAAGGTGCAAGTGATTACTAGATGAAATAGTGAAGATCTTTCTAATTAATCAGAACTGAGAAAGAATACCATCAAAACATAAGCGCTATAGGATCAAGAAATGAACATGGTATGTATACATGTCGTGACATGATTCAGTAGTCATTGACCTCTGCAATTTATTCACTCAATTGGGCAAATATATACTTTATTTCCTTCTTTTAGGTGATGTAAAATACATATATAGACTGAAATTTCTGGTACTTACTGTCACATTGCTTAGCTAGATGTCTCAATGATAATGCAGCAGAAGACAAGGAAAAAGTATCTTTCTTTTATGGAATTTATTTAATCCAAAATCCTTAAACTCGAAATGTGAACTATTTGATCCATTGTCAATTGTCCTTCAATTATAGTAACAGATTATTTTGATCAGAATTCATGTCTTGCAGGCTATTGAAATGGGAAATGGTAAATGGCATGGTTCAGTGGGTGGCATAGTTAGTGCACCTATTGAAAAAGTTTGGACTTTGGTCTCTCAAACTAAAAGACTACCCGAATGGATGCCAATGGTAGAAAGATGCACTTCCTTGGCTGGAGATGAAGATGAGGCAGGCTATGTTAGATTAGTCTCTGGTTTCATGTTTCCTGAACAAGATGGAGAAAGGTCATGGATCAAGGAGAGGTTGGTTTCAATGAACTCATCATCACATAGCTTTATTTACAAAATGGAAGCAAGCAATGTAGGTTTAGATGGATCAGTAAATTCACTAAAACTAGTTGACTATGGTGATGAATCAACTCTAATTCACTGGTCATTTGAGATAAACCCTTTAGAAGATGTATCTAAGGACAACATAGTAGATTATCTGGGATTTCTTTACAAATCTTGCATTAATAAGATTGAGGGTGCCATAGAAGCCACATCAAGAAATGTTTCGTCAGCCTAATGAACATCATTTTATTCAAACCATAAGCTTTTTTTTCAATTCATATATATGTAAGTGGAGTCTTCCGTCATCCTTTCTTTACTTTAATCAATATATATTTTGATGTCATAATGTGAATAATGAATAATAGTTGCCTACTGATCGTGACAATCTAATGTTTCAATTGTCGTAGACTCATTCCATATTCAAACCACTTTTATGTTTCTTCAGTAAATTATATGCCATAGAATATTGAAATAAAGTTATTTAATTTAATATTTTTATATTTCATTAATAATACTTAAAAAAATTTCATATGAATAATATTAGAAGAAAAAAAAGAAAAGAGTTCAAACTCTTAAAGGTTTAACAAAAAATATTTGACTATTTATTTTTAATTGATTTTGCATCTTTCATGAATATTATATATATTATTATATTAAGAGGGAAAATCAAAATTAACGTTATAAATAATTTTTTAATAAAAATTCAATAGAGAATGAATTATTCTGTTAAGTAGAATAATAAAAAAAATTAATGAAACAAGTAAAAATTATTTAGAAAAATCCCAGCATTAAAAGTTTCTTAAATTAATAGTTGTCTTCAAATATAATCGAAATTGTCTAACCATCAAGATTTAGAGATTTATTACTAATATAATGTTTCAATATATATATAACAATTGAATTATAAAATAAAACTATATTGGTTTATTTGAATCAAGTTTTATTGTGATAAATAAATGAATTACTTAATTTTAAATAATTTTATTAATACTTATTTGAATAGTCACTTGATAGATGAGTATATATGTTCAATGAATTTTTTAATTATATTTAACTGTTATATTATACTATTTAATTTTAAAGTTATATTATACCTATCTCTAAAGTGATATAATTCTATGAATCAAATATTTGTATAGTTATGAGTTAAAAAAAATACTATTACATTTTATAGAAAAATTAATTATTTTGATAATTGTTATCGATGAATGAAGGAAAAATATCTAAAATAAATATTATATTTAATTAAAATTTTAAAATTTTAAAATTTTTAAAATCAAATTAAAATTTGAGTGAAAGATAATAAAACAAAAAAGTATTTGTCTTAAAATATTTACTTTTATTTATGTAAAACTGAACGATTTGATACTTTTTATTGAACATAAGTATGAACTTAATCACATATTATGATTTTTTTGTGAGGATAAATAGGTGTAATTTATGAATCAAACCTCTTAATAACTAAATTGATATAATTTTTTAAAAGTTTAAATAAATAATTTAATAAATTTTTATGTAAGTTACAATAAATTTTTATTATCTATATACTTATTAACACAGATAAGAAAAGTATTTAATACTTTTAATAATGTATATAAATAATTAACAAGATAAATGCACAAAATCTAGTCATAAAAAAGTTAACAGTTTAAAATTTTCATAAATCTTGCAATTAATGTGGTAAAAGAAATTGTCTTTAACCCCGTTTATTCATAAAATAAAATTGATAAATTAATATACTTAATGTAAACCATTTTTATGACGGTAAATATTACAGTAGTAGGTAGCTTCATTCACTATTATAATCCTTTCTTTCAGGTAACTCCGGGGTCCCTTCTTATGCTTTGCTTACTCATTGAAGGCAATTAAGCTATTGGGCAACATGATATTGCGTTGTTGGTTCCTTTTCCTATGTATCAATGCCCAAGGAGATGCAATCGCTTTCAAACAAATCTTTTAGTTTCCAATTCAATTCAATATAAACAAAACAGTTAAAGTCCTTAACCGTGCTTTGATTACAAAAATTGTTTTAGTGAGAATAAAACTTTTAGCAGTGGTAATAAATCAAACTTTCAATTCAGCATATAGTTGTAAAGAGATGCGAAGTGAAGGGTTGAGTTTAATTTAACAAATGCAAAAAATGTGAATTTTGAACATCATGGCCAGGTGAAATGATTATAGTGAAGTACGAATGCAGCATCATTTGACAAAGAATAAGAAAAATCACATTGAAAAAGATGCGCCATTTGAATCTTTTAGTTGGTTGTGAAGGTACAAGACTGTGTATATATCTGTACTCTTATTATTTTATCAAGCTTTTGAAATCTAATTAAGGTCATGAAGTGGATGAGCCGAAAACCATAGCCCAACTATATAATTTCATGCCAGACATCTTAATTATAGTCTCTCTCTAAATGTGAATAGATCATAATCAATGCCACAATCTAACATTGCAGGGCATATCTTCTGGAAGAGAGAAGGAAAGATGGGCAAGAAAATTAAGAAACATGCTCTTAATAATGAGAAATATGATATATTTGCAGCTGAGAAGTATTTTTCAACTCAAAATGGTTTCTGTCAGCTGAAAATAACATGAATGGTTTACAACGAAGAGGACAAGTGAGGGACTACATTGTGTAGCATGCAAGAAAACTTAGTAAAAATTAGAATACATGACTATTGGCTAGCATTATTTAGTAGTCACCTAACATTTGTAAAATGACATGGCATCAAAGATTACCCCATTATAAGGTGCTTGTTCACGTGTTAGTATTCAAAAGAGAGGCATTAACAAGGGCCAAGGAAGAATTGAAGAACACACAAAATTATCAATTGCTGAAAAGAATGGAGCCACGCCTTGTGGCAATATTTTTGTTGGCTCTTTCATTCTCACCATTTGTTCAATCCTTGGTGCGTCATTACAAGTTTAATGTAAGTACCCTTCCTATGCTTAATTTTGCAGCCTCACTACATTAAAATAAGACAAAAATTTAAGAAGAAAAAGATTGGCACTGTGGAACATAAGTGAATATTAAAGTCCTTTGCCACACTTTTGATAAAATAATATCACAAATCATTATTTGCTAGCCATTTGACCAATTCATGTTGGTCAATGTGTACAGATGGTCATGAAGAATACCACAAAGCTTTGCTCCACAAAATCATTTGTAACAGTCAATGGACAATGCCCAGGCCCAACTCTCTATGCAAGAGAGGATGATACTGTAATTGTAAAGGTCACTAACCATGTTAAGTACAATGTTACAATCCACTGGTGAGAGTTTCCACAACTAAACAAATTGCAAGGAACTGAGAAAGATAGAAGTAAAAAAATTGACTAGATCATTAATTTTGAACTATGATAGGCATGGAATCAAACAGCTTCGAAGTGGTTGGTCAGATGGCCCAGCATATGTGACACAATGTCCAATCCAGCCAGGCCAGAGTTTTGTCTACAACTTTACCATCACAGGTCAAAGAGGCACACTTCTCTGGCATGCACATATCACTTGGCTGAGGGCCACGGTGTATGGTGGTTTTGTCATTTTGCCTAAACTAGGAATTTCTTATCCATTTCCTAAACCTGACAAAGAAAAGATAATAATTCTAGGTAAGTTTTATGTAATTTATTTAACTATGTTACCTTAGTACTTGTACATCATATTCCCTTTTATTGACTTTTATTTGTACGAATTTCAGGTGAGTGGTGGAAATCAGATGTTGAAGCTGTGCTCAATCAGGCTGAGAATTCTGGTCTGCCACCGAATATATCAGATGCCCATACCATCAATGGTCATGCAGGACCAGTTCCCGGTTGCATTTCTCAGGGTATTTATATAATATAAAGGGGAACTATTTGTTTTTTCATACAGTAACAACGTTATTTATTACTTTTCCTTGAAAGTCTTATGAATGACTTTTTTAATCAATCAGGAGTGCACTGAACATATGACTAGACAATGAAGTTATTTAAAGAGGGAAAAAACTGTTTTAGAGATTTTTTTGTGTTTCACTAAATGTTTCATAACTTTTAAGATTTTTCTGTTAACAAAGCATACTTACTATCCCTTTTCTTCAAGCATCAATCATGTTATGGTTACGTGAAAGGGTCAAAAAAGAAAAGAGTGAGATTTATGTCTCTAGATGCTTAGACCTGTCCTGAAATATAAAGCTTTATCAAGCTGTGCAGGTTACACTCTTCATGTTGAAAGTGGCAAGACCTATCTGCTGCGTATCATAAATGCTGCTTTGAACGATGAGTTATTCTTCAAAATTGCTGGGCACAAGCTAACAGTGGTTGAAGCAGATGCATCTTATGTTAAGCCTTTTGAGACAGACATAATATTTATGAGCCCAGGCCAAACTACTAATGTACTATTAGCTGCTAACCAAGGTGTTGGCAAGTACTTAATAGCGGTTACTCCTTTCATGGACGCCCCTATCGGCTTTGACAATGTGACATCAATTGCTACACTTCGCTACAAAGGCACACCATCTTATCCTATAACAATACCAACCACTATTCCTCCACTGAATGCAACTCCACTAACAAGTGGTTTCATTGATTCCCTAAGAAGCCTTAATTCTAAAGAATACCCTGCAAGAGTTCCATTAACCATTGACCACTCTCTTTTCTTTGCCATAACTGTTGGGATTAATCCATGTGATACATGTCTCCAAGGCACCAAGCTTGTGTCTGCTATTAATAATATCACTTTTCTATTGCCAACCATATCACTTCTTGAAGCACATTACTACAACATTAAGGGTGTTTTCACAGATGATTTCCCTGCATACCCACCTATAGTTTTTAATTACACCGGTACTCAACCCACTAATATTCAGACAAATAATGGCACAAGACTTTACAGATTGAATTTCAATTCAACTGTTCAAATTGTTCTCCAAGGCACTGCCATGATAGCACCGGAAAACCACCCTTTTCATTTGCATGGTTACAATTTCTTCGTGGTTGGGCAGGGGTTAGGGAATTTTGATCCAGTGAAGGATCCGTTAAGCTTTAATCTTGTTGACCCAGTTGAGAGAAACACAATTGGGGTGCCAAATGGTGGGTGGGCAGCAATCAGATTCAGGGCAGATAACCCAGGTAATCACAACTCATTTTGTGTTTTGTCTTTTTCATTTTTTTTTTCAAAATATCCCCATATAATTTTTATATATTATTCTGCTTTATTATGCTAGATTTAAGGTATGCTACAGATATAAAAAGCATACAATATAATCAATATTTAGTTCAAATGGCCTAATTCAAGTATATAATTGTTGTGAACTGTGAAGGTGTTTGGTTCTTTCATTGCCACTTAGAAGTACACACCACATGGGGACTTAAGATGGCATTCGTGGTAGACAACGGGAAAGGTCCCAATGAGTCCACGCTTCCACCTCCCAACTACCTTCCAAAGTGCTAAAGTTTCTGATGCAAAAGGAATGAAATTTGGAATCTGAAAGAGAAAATGAGAGTGTACATTACACTGGAGAAGTGATGTCAAGGCCTAAGGGAAAGGCATCAATTTGTTTGTGGCAGTATGTGAAGTTGTATTTGTAGCATAAATCAATAAAAATTTGCTGTAGTTACCAATTCAGAGGTTCTTTCTCGTCAGGTTTAGGATAAAATATGTACTTTTTGGGTTCATAAAATTTAATGTGTGCTTGTTAAAATTTCAATTTGAATTAATGGACATCTAGAATTCATATGATTTCTTTATTATTTATCTACGTCCAAATTGTGAACAATCTCTGACCGTGTTAATATTGTCTCCATTGCTTCAAAATGTCTCAAGCTGTCAAGTGTGCCAATATTAATATATTGACCAATAAGTTTGGTGGGTGGGTGGGTGTCGCTTAGATCTAAGGGAAAGCATTTTGAGCAAAAAAGACAAAATAAGATTAATAAAATGTACGCGCCAGGTAGGGGTCGAACCTACGACCTTCTGCTTAGGAAACAGACGCTCTATCCACTGAGCTACAAGCGCAACTTGTTGTGTGAGGCTTTTAAAACCTATTTATATATTTGTGTTATGCAAGGTAGAAAACAGAATAATGTCTACTTCAATTTTTATCTTGTAATGGAAATTGAGTTTTTTTAAAATATTTTAATCAAATAAACATCGACCAGTTCCTCATTTATAAAATCAATCACAAATTAGCTAATATTATATCTCATGTTGAATACGTATGAGAGCTTGATGCATTACTCTTATTCTCAACAAAATAGATCTCTTTGGATTTGGTCTTATGAGCTTTGATATAATTGTTATCGTTTTTTAAATTCTCCATATTTCTTGATTTATTTCTTTATAATGTAATTAGATGTTGAAAGAATATAATGGAAGAAAGGACATGGAAAAAAATTCTTAATAACAATTGAAATTCCTAATATAATCATAGAATTTAGTCAAAAATTGCAGTATAATTCTTTTGTTATATACTTTTACTTATTTGGATTCTTTCATATTGATAAATAATATAATATGATATGTTGAAAAGAGAATGATACATTTTTTTAATGAAGAACTTTCCTTAATTAGTTATAGACATCATTAATTAAAATTGATAAAAGTTGAATTTATCTTTTCTTAATATAACTATATTATATTACTTAATAATATGAGAGAATGAGAATCCTTCTTTTCTAATTAATACGTGTATTAATTATACAGATAGATAGAGTAGATAGATATTCGACCTACTCCACTTCAATAATAATTAAATTATAAAATTAATTTTACAGCTTTATATTTTTTTTAAATAATTTGGTCATAAATTTCATATATTTTTTAATTTTTTTAACATTAAGAAAATGTATTATTAATTTAAAATGTACTTAATATATGATTTAATTAATAATACTGTGAAATTATACAAGAAAAACGGGACAATTTTTTCAATTAGCAATAGAACAGTGCTTAGAATATAATTTTTTTAACATACTCTTATTTATTTATTGATTGAAATTTAATAAAAATTATAAATATATAAATACAAATTATTAAATTAAAAATGAAACCCATATAATATTTATTATTTTATTAAGTTTAATTAATAAAAAAAAACATGTTTAAAAGAGCATATCACGAATATTTCTTTTCCTAATAATAGTAAGATTAAATATATTTTTTTGCTATTAAAAATTAAATATATTTTCACCAAGATGAGTTAATAGAAATTAATTTTTAGAGATATGTCCTAAATCTAAAATTAAGATGCAAAAAACAGAGTTAACACAGAGATATAAAAGAGAAAGTAACAAAGAGCCATATATGTTAGGATGCCAAACAAAATAATGAAACATTAAAAGACAAGTTACAAAATAGATAGAATTAGAAATACTTGTGTCATTCATACTATCAATTCTAATTTTTTTATAAGACATATTTATAAATTTTTAATAGTCTTTATTATAAGGTGTTTTATAGTTTTTGGGAAGTTTCTTTAATTAATAATTAATAAATAGAATTGATCGAAAGTTAAATTAAAACTAACAAAAGTAATGCTGACGGTGAAATTAGATTCAATAATACTAAAAGGGTAAAATCATCATATATTATAATATTTTTAAAAATAACTAACTTTAAGTATTTTTATTAGTTTGTGTAATTTAATTAAAATTATTTTATAAAAATGATCGAGGAGAGTATTAAACAAAAAAGCAACATAAACAACCCATTTTTAATATTTTTATAAATATTTAAAAATTGAGAAAAAATAAAATAATTATTTATAAATATATATATATATATATATATATATTTACTTTTTTCAATTCAAACATGTTTTTTATTTCTCCTTTTTTTTTGGGTCATTGTTTGTAGCTATGGTAAAATAAATGGACTATGCTAAGCAGTGTCTGAAGATATTAATTAAGATATCAAAAAAATATTAATTCACCTTCTTAATGTCACTTATTAAAAGAATAATAAATAATATTTTTTTATTAAAAATTACAACATTTAATATTATCATTATATTATACTTTGTGATATTTTAATTTTTTAAATAAATTTTATTTTATATATATTCTTATTATGTGTCATCAAATACGTGTTAAAAAAATTATCTTAATTTTTAATGCATCGCAAATTAATTTTCAACGAGAATATTTTAGTTTAAATTCTTGAAATAAATAATTAACAAGAACAACACATCCCATCATCAGATGAAGGGTAATTTGACACCTGCACGACATTGCAAGTAGAGCCCATATGAGGAGGGGAATTATACTTTCTACTGAAAAAGGTTGGTATTATACTATTTTTACCCTCAACCTTATTTAAACCTCTTTGAATAGGGTGATTAAGGACGAAACTTTGTCGTTAGTTATAGGTTTATAGCTACTAGCAAGTGTGACACTCCAATCCTAACCTTATTACCTTAACCAAGCCACCTCTCACATCAAATCCTTCACATTCTCTCTTTTGAACTCACTAACACTATCACGAAGAAATCCAAATCCGATTCCTTATCAAGATGAATACCCTTATTCCCACTCTCTCAGTACTTGGTTTCCACTCTGTTGTATATTTTTACATGTATCATTTATAATGCATTTGCTTTTATACTTGCTTCATCACGAAGAAACGACAAAGGGAAACAGTTTTCAGCTTTTCCATTGCTGATTGTAAAGAATCTCTCTCTTTTCTCTATTGGATCTTTGCTTTCAGCACCCTCTTCCTCATAGCCTCTCATATTTGCTCTCTCTCTTTGGAGCTCAACTTTGTAGGCTTACCTTAAAAAAACCACCTTTTTTTGGTGGGGTGGGAGCTCCTATCTTATTCCTGGTTTCATCTACAAGAAACTAAATCTTCCGTTGTTTTAGTTTCAGAATTCATTGTACTCCCACATCAAAATTCTGGTACATCATGATTTTTCAAGATTCTGTACGATTCTAAAAGGTATGTCTTTTATAGATTCTTAACTTTATCTTGATCACACACATAAAAGATTCTGAAATCTCTGTGCCTTGTGAATCAAAGCTCCATAATTGCTTCCTTTTGTGCTTCTCTTGTGTGTTTATGAACATGCCTTTCTAGTTCTCTATTTTCAATGTCTTTAGGGACTTCATTCAAGTAGGGGAGAGCTTTTGTATGCTTGTGGTTTTAAGGTATGGAATTGGAAACCCTCTACCCGCCTTATTTTATGTCAAGTTCAAATTGGTTTGTGCAAGAGAGCAACAGCACAGAATGGACTAGAGAAGATAATAAGAAGTTTGAAAGTGCCCTTGCTATATATGACAAGGACACTCCAGATAGATGGCTAAAGGTGGCAGCCATGATCCCAGGGAAGACTGTGTTTGATGTGATCAAGCAGTATAGAGAATTGGAAGAAGATGTGAGTGAAATAGAAGCAGGGCGTGTTCCAATTCCTGGCTATCTTGCATCTCCTTTCGCCTTTGAGCTGGTTGATAACCACAACTATGATGGATGCAGAAGGAGGCCTGCAACTGTGAGGGGTACTGATCCAGAGAGAAAGAAAGGGGTCCCATGGACTGAAGAGGAACACAGGTGAGTTTCACCAATTTTGAATCTCCAATTGTTTCTCTGATTTGATTTGACCTTTTACTCCCTTCTATAGTTGTTGAAAGTTGGTTTTATTGAAGTGCAGAATATTGGTATTAAAATTCTGCTCATGAATCATGATTATATAGCCCCACTAACTCAACCTGCACCAATCAATTACTCTAGAATTAAATATTTTAATCATTGTTCATTCCATTTTCTTGAATTTCAATATTTTTAGTACTAATCCAATTGACCTTTTATACTAACTGCTTTATCAATTTAGCAAAGTAGCCACACTATGATTTGATCAGTGAGTTTTTAAATTTTTATCGGTAAATTAAATTATGCATGCCCAAAACAGCTGACATGTTAATAAAATTTTGAATTGGTTTACGTGTTTCCTATACACCTGTACCTTGTACTTGTTAGTGCTCTTAATCTTATCCCTTTTGCTTCTATCTGAGCTGTTTCAATATCTATCCTTTTTGGTTCATGTCCTTAACTTAGGTGTTAATTTGCAGGCTTTTTCTGATGGGACTTTTAAAGTATGGTAAAGGAGACTGGAGAAATATCTCTCGCAATTTTGTGGTCACAAAGACTCCCACCCAAGTAGCTAGCCATGCACAGAAGTACTACATAAGGCAAAAAGTTTCTGGAGGGAAAGATAAAAGGAGACCTAGCATCCATGATATAACCACCGTTAATCTTACACATAGTGCTGCATCAGACAAGAACAAGTCCTCTTTATTTAATGTGTCTCCCATGCTTGCACCCCAGCAGAAGCTGAATAGCATGTCAAAAGTACAACTGGATTGGACTAGTCACTACAATGATGGATCACTCATGGTTTTCAACCCAAATTATGATGACTTGTTTGTGTCATCTTCATCTGATATCACTTCCAAGGCCATGAAACTGCAAGGCCAGGATCTCTATGACTGTGCTTTGCATGAGGCTTATTCCAAGCTGAAAATTCCAGGTTTTAGTTCAGCTTCTAGAGACTACAATAAGGAAGCTGTTTTTGGTATTCATGCACTGTAATGCCAAATGATGTTAAAAAAAGCAAACCAATACCACTGCATAGATCGTTGTTCACTAGGATTAATGTAGATGACCTGAAGCTAAGATACCTACTTGGTTCATGGTTCATGGTTAATATCTTAAAAGAAACTGCAATAATGTTTCAATCCTTAAAACTGAATATGGAATGAACTTTTCTTGAAGTTTTCCTCTCTATCTTTTATGTCGGACAATGACCATGTCTATTTCTTTGGAGACCCAATCTGAATCATATGATGGACCATTCAGGCATGCTAAATCTCAAAAGCTACATGACAAACATCACAAATAATTGAATTCTATTATCACACGTAAATGAATTAAGGTTCAATATGTAATAATTTCTTTCATTTCAGAAGCTGTCATCCTTATCCAATAAACTACAAATTGAACCACATTATGATACCATGATCTGCCCTCAAAATTTGAGGCCCAAATATAACAAATAGTAACCTCAAGTCAAAATGGGCTTATTAGATATTCCAAAAATTGTAATTCCTTGAGCAACCAGCTCATTTGCTTATGTGTCTGACACTTACGGACTTGGCATTGAAATTTTGGGCAGCATTTGGTATGATAACCCTTTTGTGTCTTAGATATCGTTATTAATCATTTGCTTTCTTAGAGCAATGTGGGCAAGTTGACCATGTTTGATCAGCATAGCATCACTTTAATAGTCGAATCTGAGTTTGCATTCCACTTGATTAGAATCCCATGCTTCATTGGGTCAGAATATAAGCAGGTTCACGTAAGCATGCGCCAATGTGGATCACACTATCATCACAGTCATCTTTTATTAATTTTGATTCTCAGCCAATCATGTTCTACCTTTTCTTAGATATTTCTACTCTCGCCAGTCTCCTTTTCTGTGGTGCCAATACTGTTGCGTTAGCATTGTTCCTTCTTTTACTGGTCTTTGCCAAGCATCATGCTTTATTTTGATTCTTTGTTTTACTTGAGAACCCAATAACATGTTATGGCCCTGTAGACTATGCACATTTTGTTCACACTAAAACTATTACTAGGAATAAAGTAACCGACCTTGGATTACATAGTGCAGATTGAGCTCTTGAAAATCTGGAAAGACAATATTCATTAGTCTTTGTGAGAATAAGCATATTGCTATTCCTGAGAATAGACTAGAATTGCTTCTTTTGATTTTGTTCATAAATAAGTGGTAGGGTTTTTTTATTTATTGACTTTTTTTTTTCTTTTTATAATAACAAAGTTTTACCAAATGGAATTTATGTCATTTCTTACCTACAGTGCCTGCCACTACCTAAAATGAAAAAAAACAAATACTACTACTAATTTATACACCATAAGCATCATTCTAATTTTTCTTCGTAAACTGTTTTCCAAAACTATAATAGTTTTAATTTAATATACTCTAACAAAATATCAAGTGCATATTTTGAAATGATTATCTTTAAAAAAAAATTATTTCATTAAAATAAATAAAACTAACCACGTGTGAATAGACATTTTATAGAAATTATATGATTTTTATAGGATTTTTTAACATATTCTAATAAATTTTTAATTAAATTTATATCATATTTTTATATATTAAGAATTTATTAAATAAACACTTAATTAAGTTACTTATTCAAACATATCCTAAACCTCACATACAAGTCCTTTAAAATTCATATTCCTCGTCAATGTTTAATTAAACCTTGAAATCGATGTGTTTTTAAGGAAAATAAATCACATATTTTTATTTTTTATAAAATTATTAAAAAAAATATTTTTTAAAATAAAACTAAATCAAGCATGTACTCAAATAATTTGATCCCCGAGTTTCTCAACAATATTCCTCAGTTGAAAAAAAGAAGTAACTGGTCAGATTGTTGAAAAATTAAGTAATGTACTTTACGTTAACCCAAACATTTAGAATATAAAATTGGTCAAACCTTATTTTACTTATGATACTTTGCCTAATCAACACTAGAATATTGCAAGCAAATACGTGGTCCTCATCAAATCTCGTAAGAACAACTATTTTCCTTGAACTTTTAGCAGATTACAAGTTTGTTATGGGAAAAGCTTCAAGTATAACTCACCCCAGAAAAGCCGAAGGTTCCTGATACACGTTTTGACAAAGAAATACAACCAAATACCTTACTTTCCTAAACCCATAAATAGTTAATTCAATTAATACATGTTCGATTAATCTCATCATACTGTGTATATTTTCAACTATAACAGAATTGTTTCTTTCAAAAGATAAAAGTAATTTAGACTAAAAAATACATAAACTACATATATAATATATATTCTTTGTTGAGGAGATTATTTATAGGTTGATTGGTACCGACTTCATTATTAATTTAGAGAAGTATAGGCCACACATTAAACCAAAAGAAGACCGTACAAGTTTGGCATCTTTATCCGTAATTTAATCTCTGAAAGAAATTAGGACAAGTTTTTGGTAACAACTTTTTTGGACTAATCGCAGCGACAATGGATTTAGCTGTACCTGTCACCATGCAAAAAGATTGTTGTACTGTACTTTCATTTGGCCCACGTATCCATTGATCTTTATCAGATAAAGTCTTTCTGTCCACAGATCTTTTTGGATGAAAGGACGCAGATGCATGTTATGGAAACAACGCCGGTAAAGTTTCATTTCATATATGCTCAATATATAAATTTATTTTCAATTTTGGTGCAGATCATCGTCCCCTGTACAATCTGTCAGTACTGTCTTCATTTTGTATATCTGAGAAAAAATTAACTACGTATTCCACCCAAAAGAATATAGCAATACTTTTTTTCTAATTTATTTTATGTTTATACTCTTTTTTAAAAATGAAAAATTATATTTAAAAAATAATTGATTTATAAAGTTAGTATTTTTACTTTTTATTAAAAAAATATATTAGATATATTGTTAGTTTTGGATATCAAATGAAATATATGGTAAAAAAGTAGACTTATAATCAATAATCTTTCAATGGAGTTGACCAACAGCGTGACATTGAAGGGTCATTTTTTTAATAAGCTGACAAAATAAGTAATTATGCCGTTTTATTTTTTTTGTCTACGTAACTAATGTGCGTTGAAACAATGAAATCTAAAGCTAAAATTCTTTTAGCCTAACTGGGCCTGCCAAGGCCCAATGCTACAAATCACGAAGAGAGCACCTTGTAACGCTGTCTGTCGAACATTACACACGCACTATCACATAAGAGTATAAATCATTTTCTTCAAAAAGAATTATAGTGCAATGGGTAATTCTATAATTCATATATTTATATTGTATGAAGTTAATTTTTTACATAAAAAATATTGATAATTTTTACAATAATTTAATAAATGTGTATCACTTCACAATCTTGTGCCTCAGATAGGTAATTTAGTTGTTGTTTAGGGTACTAAAAAAATATTATTTATTAACACAAAAAAGCATGCACCATCCACACTAATTGCTGATGTTTATTTTGTGATTGTCGTGAAATGCTTGGTTGGAAGTATGAAAAAGCTTATGAAGGATCCCAGAAGTACAAGGAAGGAAAGTTCATACTTGAAAAGTGAAGTATTGTTAAGGAGAACTGGTAGCATTCCTTTCTGCTCCCCAATCCATTTGTTCCAGTCTTCCCATCGGTTCGTTCATGGTTTGTGATGTTCATCTATTTACTGGAGATGCTGATGTTTCAGCAACGGTATATTGGGATTCATCTTTAGATTAAGATAGACAAGATTTTTCCTTGGTTGGTTTCTTGTGCCTTGAGAATAAGAAACTTCATACTCTTTGACTTCGTCAGCTCCTTGGACTCATGTGTTTTGCCAGCATCATTATCACAAACTTCCCAGATTGAGCCCATTTTCATAGACGGTAGAAGAAGCAGGAACAGATTTTGACCTGGGAAGATTTTTAGGAGAACCATCCACACATATTTCATCATTGAAATTTCGACTGCAAGAGATAGTTTCGTTTGGTTCTTGTTCTTTATGACAATCTTAGTTATTACAGATTTCTTAATACCTGAAAGAGCAAGCATCTCACCCAAGGTAGAGCTTCTACGCAATCTTCCGCGTTATGTAATTCGGTTAAGCGAAATTTTCACTTAGGTATATTTAAATTCATTTAAACAAAAATATAACTAAGCATTCAATTCTCGCGGAAACTAAAGGAAATCCGGATCCTTCACAGATATATCAATACAACGGAAATTGAAAAATATGCAGTTTTATAAAATAAAATAAAAATGTACAAACTCTAAATTATTTTATTGCAAAATTCAACCTATAAAAATTGTACGTCAAAGGACATAAGAAAAAAAACAAAACAAAATCCGTACAACAAATAACTGTGTCTGCAACTCGCGTATTTATTTTTCAATCTGCGAGATGGGTGGCACTGATGGTATAGTGGTGACAATAGACACAGCACTGTGATTGTAAGGTGGTGTCAGGAAACATACTTTGATTATTTTAGGAGGGTTAAAAATATACTATTTAACTTGGCTTTTTAATTACAAATTATTAAATTAAAAAAATAAAGAATAAAATTAATATCTTTTTACAAATTTTAATTAATAATTAAGAGTATATTATATAATACAATTATCAAAGACCAAATTTTAAAGAAATTATCACCACCAACCCATTTCCAACATTCTACGAAATTTTTTCCTCATCTCATTTCCATCTCTACGACACCGCCCCCATTCTATTTAATGACCAAACAGAACCTCAGTGTACCATAAACAGTTATTATTATTGCCAGTGATGTGATGTGTGAAAATTCGTAGTCCAATTGTATCTGACGACCCGAAACATCCGCGCATTTGTTATAAATTCTACTACACGATACTGACAATAGTACACTGTAAACTGAACTCTTCGGTCCCTTAAAAAGTAGAAACATACTCTTCACTTTTCTCGTAGGTGCTTTTATTTAATTTGTTGCTTAATCAACGGTGACGAGTGGATTCAAAGGAAGCATAGCAGAGGATAGACAACTGTAACCCACAAAATAAAGAATTACTCTTATTTCTGAAAGGACCTTAGAAAACCTGGTAAGTTTACAGATTAAGAGAGAGAGAGAGAGAGGCAAATAAGACGTGAAAAACATTCCATGCTTTCTATTCACAAAATTGAACAATATTCAGTGAAAAGGGAACTAACTAGCTGCAAGAGTTTGTAGAAGCATATCTGAATTACAGAAAGGAACACCAAGCTTATTACAAGACTATTGTCTAGGAATTGCAGAGAAAATTGAAACCTTCTATAACTAAAACACTGCAACAACTTACAAACAAGATTTAAAAGGGAAAAGAAAAAAATGGTATATACAACTTTACGTGTCAACAACATATGCAGCAGGATCCAAAGGTTTAACAGTATCTGGAAAATCTGTTCTTTGGCCAGCAAGGGAGTAATATGCAAGAATATGAGCCGGATGCTCAACAATTACAGGTCGCTCATCCTGGGTATTGCAAACAACCACGCGTCTAGAAGGAATCAACTCAATATTCCAAAAGGGGCGAGCCATGGCCAAAAGATCACGCCCAGATGGAGATGCTCCATATCCTTGAACCCATAGATACCTCAGAGAAGTCAGTTGAGTTGCAGCAACAGATAGTGCATACTCACTAAAAAAGGAGCATCCCCTCATTTCAAGTTTCTGAAGACTGGGACAGCCCTTAGAGAACTCCAAAAGCCCTGCATCAGTCTCCCCCACATAACCAAGAAGCATCCATCTCACGTTTGGGCTGTATTGCCCTATGTAACCGAGCCCTACGTCAGTCAAGCCCCCAGGTCTAAGATACAAAGCAAATCTTCTAAGCTTGTCACAACCCCTCAGTAAAGCCCTTACTCCGTTGTCAAGTGGCAAATCAGTTATCTTCTCTTCACGGTCTAGCAAGACAAGGCGAAAATCGCAAAGGTTTTTCAAGTGAGTACCAATGTGTTCTAGAGAGGCATTTGTAATATCGGATACATAAACAGCCAAGTATTCAAGTTCTGGACAGCCATGAGACAAAGCAATTAGTCCTCTCTGGGAAACAACACCTTCTTCATCCTCCATTCCTTGATCATCGTCACCTCGTTCAATCCGAAGCCTTTTAAGCCTCCTACAACAGCGAGCCAGTACTTCTAATCCTCTGTCTCCAATTACGTTCCTTGACTGCCCATAAGGAATGATTATTAGCTCATTATATAAACAGAGAAGTGGATAGCTAAATCTTGAAGACTAGACTAAAAGAAATTAAGACCACCAAACTAAATTAAAACATTCATTGCAAGGAGTTGAAGAGTTAGAAAATTGAATGGGAAGAAGTTCCAGAAACTTACCTCAAGGACTTCCAAGTTGGGGCACCTTTGGATTAGCGTGCAATGATCCTCTGTATCCAGCATCGCGTAGAGAAGATCCAATTTTTTCAGTTGGGCTGCATAAGGGAACACTATGGGCATTTCATTCTTCCCAATATATGTCAAACCCAATCGATTTAACTTTGCTGGCAACGATATAGCAGAGTACTTCTCTGGTTCCTCATTGTAGAAACCCCCACAAAATTCTTCTAGAGCAGATGCACATCGAAAGAAGTTCACCAGATCCAATATTTCACAATCAGTAATTTTCACAGAGACTAATTTAGGGCAATTTATGGCTATGAGTTCAAGGTCCTGAATCCTGACATGGACAATATAAGTAAGGTAAAAATTCAGTGTCTCAAGAGCCGTATTATTCAAAGCAAGCTCATGGAGCCAATCACCATCATTCTCAACAACTGAGCTTTCTTCCAAAAACAAGACTTTTAAATACCTGCCAAAAACAAAATTTCATGTAATAATTTATAATACTAGGCACAAGTTCCTACTGCCAAGTGACGATGACAATTATCAAAACACTTGAAAAATCAATGACTACTCTTCTGCAACCCCCTAAAATTAACTTAATTTGAATTGCAGAGAGCCAATAGATAAAACAAAATGCACTTTAAATGAGAAGCAATCTTCTCAGCAAGTCCTATCTAATTGATAAAAAAGAATTCTAAATCTAAATCTTCCGATAATACTTTCCTATTAATCTCATTATTTATTAAATAAAGAAAACATTAAATATTTTTATTTTTAACAATTTTACAAATTATTATCTGAAGATGATTAGAACTGGTTCTTTTGATAAAAACAGCTTAGTCTAATGTTACTAACATATCTATACCGTAATTTTTAATAAAAAAATATTTATTAATTCCTTCTCAGAAAAACTATATTTTCAATACATTAAACGTATACTATTTTTTTATTTAGTATTTTCTTATAAAGTATTAATGGTTTTATAAGGAATAAAAAGTAAATAAAAAATTGCAAAATCATATAACATTACTTTACTGATAATTAAGATAAAAGCTCTAATATTTTTTATAAGTAATGACACCAAAAGAGCATCGCAACCTTAAGTATGTAAATATGAGTGAAAAGTAGCGTAGACTGGGAATAACACACGGCTTGGGAAATGAGGGAGAGAAGAGTTATGAAGTAAATTCAGAGAATTAACCAGTTGCAAACACAATCATACAATCAGATATTAAAATCACTTTCTTGGGATTATAAGTTGAATATATTAGAACTATCATTCCAACAACGATTTCTCATAAGACACTGATTTATTTCTCTATATTGCATAATCTATTTTATCCGACGTTTCTTTTTTTATTCTTTATCTCCGTCCTTAATGTAAGTATTATCGTGAGAAATATATATAGAAATAGCAAAACTCAACTAATTAAATGAACCAGTTGGTAAATTCACTCACTAACTTGACACATACTACTACCAACTCATCATACAAAACAGTTGCTAAAATTTAGAAAGAGGAAAAGACGAAAAGGATAATGTATAGGTTATTACTTTTATTTATTTGCGACATATGTCCAGAACAAAAAGAAGAAATCAAGTTGAATCTTTTGTGCAACATAATAGTCGAGGATTCAAAAGACTTTTGCGATTAAGTTCTTCAGGTTATAAGGAATTGATCAGCTTAGTTTTTTCAATCAAAAGTTAAAGGAACTATATCTTCTTTTGACCCACTCACCAACGATCGATCACTAACCGGCTCTATGAATTTGCAGGATTGGGAATTCCTGCAGCATTCAATGAGCCAATCCAGATTAAAGTTCAAAAGAGAATATCCGGACATTGGTACTAAAATGAAATTTAAAAAGCAATGCCGCCATAGAATGCATCTATCGTTACAAATGAAGCATTAAAACACCTAGCGTTAAATATTAAAAATTTGCGCATTTAGGTTAATGGTTTCATAAAAACTTACTCCTTATTCGTAAAGCTTATAAGTGAAGTTTATTAAAATAGGCTGAAAAAAAATTCAATTTATCAAAAAAAATCAACAGAGTACAAATTTTATTAAAGTAAAAATAACTTAAAATAATAAATTATATCCATAACTTCAAATAATACAAAAAAAAAAAAAAAAAAAAAAAAACACAAACTCTCACACGTTAAACCACTTCATGAATCAAAGGTGGAAGCAAAGCTATCTTGATTTGTGATCGAAATCCTTTTCCAATCATTCTACTCATAAGAACACACAGAAAATGTTACCGAAAACAAGAAAAATGAAAAATCCAATAGTTAATCGAGAAGCATCCAAACGCAGAGAAAACAGAGGAATTAAAAAAATACCTGCAAAATCTTCCAATATACCAGAGGCCATCGGTGGAGAATCCAGAACACTTGTCCAGCTTAAGCGCTTGAAGAATGTGACCACGGGAACGAGCAAGAAGCTTAAGATCGGAATCGGTGACAATCATGCGACGGAAGTGAAGAGACTTCAAGCAATCGAAGTGCTGTGAGATCTCTCTAACCCAAGGAGTCACAAAACCTCCCCAATCCTCCGGTATCAGGTTGAACATAGCAGCCCTGGGTTTTCCTTTCAGCTTCAGCGACTCCAGGTGTGGAAACCGCCGGCGAAGGCGGCACGGTGTGGTGGTATAGCAGAGCGCAATAGTCACGTGCTTGCGCGTGAGCGAGTCCATCTCGTACCAGTGGTGGCACACCTGAGACACGGCGTCACGGTCCCTGGGGTCGTCGATGTACCGCATCACCAAGTCAAGCACCATGTCCGTCAACGTCGTGCTCATCCTTCCCACGCTCCGATCCTCCATAACCGCCCCGTCGGGAATCGGAAACAGTCCGTGAGATCTCGAATTCTCGAAGCGGCTCGGTCCGGTTAAGGGAAAAGGATTGAAAAAAAGCGTGAAGGAATTGAGTGACACATGTGAAGAAGAGGAAGGTGCATAGAGAAGCTAGGAAGTGGGGAAAGTGGCGCCGCAAAATGGAAGGTTTGGGAAGGGGAATGAATAAGGGAAGAAGATTCGGAGCTCGATGAACGATGAGAGTTTGGGTGTAGGCGCGGAATTATCTACGACAACATTTTTTCACGGAAGACGAACCAATCGAATCGGGACCGAACCGCCGACCCGGCCAATCGGTGAGGGAAGAGGGGAGGGTAAGAGGAAGACATAGTGGGAGGGTCAGTGAACGGACGGTGGAGATCGCGAGAGAGGGAGGTATCGGACGGTGATAGTTGGGACAGTTTGTGAGAAGGGGATTGGATCAGACCCTAATATATGAGGGGGGAAAATAAAGCCAAAAGCAGGGGTCAGAATTGAGTACTACTTTTTATTATTATTTATTATGTAACTAAAAGGAAGGTGGGGATTATGAGTGCCAGGGAGCGGGTAGCAACTAGAAACTATATAGCCAACAAAACGACAAAACTTGCTCTCTCCTTTCCCAATAATGTAAAACGATATCGTTCGGGACTGGGGGAGTCACGTACTATTCCAATTTACTACTTTTTTTATTTACTAATTTGATGTGATAAATGAAAAAATCAATATAAATATAAAAGAAAGTGTATAAATATGATGATTTAAGAGGGGGAAAAGGTTGAAGGCTGCGATATCTCCTGATAATGATGCCGTACTGACAACGAACTCAATTTGAACAAAATGATTACACGTAGTGGGTCTGCTGGTAAGATGATTTATATTCATCCCCCATCGTCACCGTGACAAGAAAATTAACTCTACTATTCATACATCTATTTATTTTAATATTTCTTTTATATTTTCTAATCACTTTTTTCAATGCTTCAATCACCAATGTTTTCTATAGTTCTTTCTGGGCTTTAAATCTACTTCAATTATTTTACTGTATACATTGTCCCTTATCATGTTCTGTTATTGCAAATCTATTCATTATTTTTATTGTTTCTGTGTTGTAATTTTTTCAATTTTTTGCAAAATTATATGTTATAAATCATATATTTGCTTAAAATATGATAGAAATTTTTTATTATGATTTATTGGTGGGTATGAATAATTTTTTTAAGGGACTACAATGACAAATATTAACATGTATATTTGCAAGGAAGAAATATTTGTTAAATATCATTTATGTTTAAGTTTATTGGGTTAAATTTTTATAAATCTTTTTTATATAACTGAAATGCACTTAATAGGTACTTTATATGCAAACGTATTAACAATTACATTACTAAAAAATTTACTAACTTATTAGGAATAACTATTTATAAGAGTAAATATACTTTCTATATCAAAAGATGAAAAATTAAATGAAATTGTCTTAACATTTAAATTAAATAGGTGAAAATTTATGTCATATGGGATGAAAATCATTACTTAAAAATATATTAAATTTCAAATTATAAGAAATTTATTCTTAAATGATATCAAAATTTAAATATTTAATTTAAAAATTAAATAAAATTTCATGTAAAAATTATACCTTCAGATAAAATATATATTTTTGAAATATAAGTTTTTATACGTTTGCATATAAAGTACTTATACAGTGTATTTCAGATTATTTTGGCCTATTTAATGTAATAAAGTATTTGTCATTAATAATAAAAAAATTTATCAAAATTTTTTAATTTTAAAATAACTCAATATATTATAAAATTTTATTTGAAAATATTTTAATGTAATAGTATTTATATAATACTCAGAAAAGTGGCTAATCACAATTTAAAAATATCATCATTCTTTTAAAATTATATAAATATTTTAATAATCTAAGATGAAAACTTCATTTAAAGTCTTATTGATATCTAAATTTAAAACTATAATATATAATAATAATACCTAAATATAGTTGAGAAAAAGAAAAAACTAATCTTTTAAGGTTATTGTCTGTTTAATAGACAATCAGCATGAGGATTATGTTAGTGTGAAGAAATAAGTAATTAACCATTAAGAAACGAAAAGAACAAAAGAAATAGTCAATTAATATTAAATTTTAAAAAAATGTGAACCATATTACTGTCCATATTGGAAATCCAATATCATATCACCAAACAATTTAAAAAAAAATTGTCGGATACAATATATCGGAAGCAAACATATGTCCCCCACCACATTGTTATTGCTGAAAGCATCAATCTCTTTCCACTCTCTTCTTGAGTTCAAACTTGAAAAACAATTGCCAGAATTGTGATGCAATACAGAAAACATATAATTGTCTGATATGGACAAAAATTCATTTCGTGTTTTTCTTTTTCTCTAAAGATAAAGATTCTACCCCAAATCACAAGTTAACCAAGTAGTAGGACGAAAACTACCAAGTTTACATGCCCATTTTTTTTTTCATTTTAAGAATTTTTTTCCTGTATTCCATAAATAAATATTAAAAGAGAAACCTCACTGCTCTCTTCCTTCCTCGCATCAAAACGCATATAACCTTTTCTCACTTCCATTCATTTATTTTTCTCCCCCATTCCTCCCTCCTATCTAAACAAACAATTAAATGGACAAGCTACATCCTGAATAAGTTTGTAACTTCAATGTTGTCAAACTTAAATTACAAAATATTTTTTTATTAATTACTTATTCCTTTTATCTATGCAGAAAAATGGACCAAAATCATTTTAATTAGCCAAAGTGATTTAGAAAAAAAAATCTGAAAATAAATATTATAAAAAATTGAATAGCAAAAAAAAAAAAAAACAAACGGTGCTAATTAACACTTTAATTGGATAAAAAAGAAAGAAAAGAAAACAAATAAAAAAATGGAGAGAAAACAAATAAATAAAAGTGATTTTTTTCTTGTTTGTATGGACTATAAATTGAAAAAAAAATAGATATAAGATACTATTTCTTTTAACTTTGTTGTGATAAGTGCCTGATTGAGTTATAGTTAAAAATTATATTTTTGCATTTTCTAATAAAAATATGATTTTATTTTATTTTTTTGCATTTTCAATATGTTTAACTGTTTAAAATGTTGTTCAATTTAACTTGACCAAAAATTGATTTCTAAAATTGGATCACTGTTCATATTTCAGATGTCGTTGTCATTTAATGTCACCTATTATATATATCCAAGTTAGTTTCCGCATTCATTTTACTTATTTTACTAATCTACATATTTGTGCTTGTATAACGTACCTACGCAAGCATGTATATAAACAAATAGAGTTAGATGCCGAAATGCAGAAGGCAATACCAGAAGATATCAAAATAATCGAATTTCGATTGAAAATGCAGAAGGCAATACTAGAAGATATCAAAATCATCAAATTTCGATTGAAACAATCATCGCAAGGATGTGAAAAGATACAAAATTTAATGAGAAAAAGTTATAGAAATTTACCATAACGACTTAGCTAACAAATATATAGTAAACTACATCTCTCGTTCCTCAATGTAGGAACCTTCATAAAATTCTTCTAGAGCAAATGCACATCTAAAGGATCACTTCAAATCAATAATTTTAACCAAGACTAAACTGGGGTGATTTTTGGCTATGAGTTAAAGATCATGGATCTTTTCATGGGCAATATCAGTCAAGTAAAAATTTGATGCATCAAGAATCGTATTATTCAAAACAAGTTCATGAAGCCGATCACCATGATTGTCAACAACTGAGCTTTCCTCCAAAAACAAGATTATTAAATTCTTTCCAAAGAGAAATTTTCACAGTAAGAATCACACCAGAAGTAATTTTCAAGTGGCAGTGCTCAATTCAACACAGTTGAAGAATATATGTTTACTTTAAACACTTTCTAAGACTTTGTTTGAAAATTATTTTTTAAAGAAGAAAGGAAAATTTTATTCAATGATAATTTCAATTTAAAAGTTTTTAGATGAGAAAAAATGATTTATAAAGTTATTAAGACTCTTAAAGTTATTTTTTTTATTTTTTTCAATTTAAAAAATTTGTATTATTTTTTTTCCTTTTTCTTATCTTCCCTTGCTCTTCAAACTTTTTTTTTCTCTCTCATTCTAAAATCCAAAATAAAGTTTAAAAATATTTAATTCAAACAACTGAGCCTATAAACCCATAGATAAAACAATAGAACAAAATGCATTAAAAACATGTTCTAAATGAAGAGCTCTCTTCTTAGCAAGTCCTATCTAATATTTTTATAAAATATTTAACCTTCAATTTTTACTCATCAAATAAAGAAAATATTTACTTTCTCAAATTTCAACAATTTTATTAAGTAAATAATTTATTTCTTATCCTAAACTTATAAGCTTACTAAAATAAGTTGAATAACATATATTTTAATAAATTTAAAGTTCAAATGATAGAGAAACATTTTTTCGGGAAGAAGAAAGAGTACAAAAATAATAATAAGATAACAATAATATTTGTTAATGATAGAGAAATATTTTATAAAAGTATAGATAAAGAATAAAAAAAGAAGAAAGAGTAAAAAAAAAAGATAACAATAACATTTATTAATGTATTTTTATTGAAGTTCATAAAAAAGAAAAAGATAATGAACTTAACATCTTTAAAAAAAAATTCTTTGACAAGGGAGGGAGTAAAAAAAAGGTTTAAAGGATAAATTAAAAGAAAATCAAGAATGAAGAGATTAATTTAATCTATAATTTATTAAAATAAAATTTATGATTAAAATTATAGCATAAAATATAATATTAAAAATCATTAAATAAGTATTTAACTAGATTCTGTATTCAAAGAAATTATTATAGAAGTGGTCCACGAGCTTAAGACCTTGAAGGATGTGTCGAGGGGAACAAGGAAGAAGCTCAAAATCAAATCGATGACACTCATGCGATACTTGGAGCAATTGAAGCACTGCAAGATCATCAAGCCTAAAGCCGAAATGAAGCGTTCACAATCCTCATTAATAACAAATAAATGGTACAAAGATCACAAAAGATCATTTGCAAAAACAAATTAAAACTCCTGTTTCTTCCTTATGAATGAAGCATTCAAACATCCTTTTTGCTATTTAGTTTAGCAAGCAAACAACTGCGGTTCGTTAGCAACGAAATAAATCCTCCGTTAACTTCCTGTAGTGAGTGAGTCTTATGTGCAAGTGAAAAATTAACACAACTAATTTCAATTAAATGCCACTCAAGTCTAACTTGAAAATATTTCTAGAAAGATTTTTATGAGAGAAAAAATTAGTATAAAAATAAATAAAAATATAATAAAAACCACTTGAATTTTTATCTTGCTCACAATATAATATTTAGAAAAATTAATCATTTTTTATAACTGAAAAAATTACTTTTTAACAAAATTTAATATTATTATAATAAAAAATTACCATGATATTAAAATATAATTGAATGAATAAATTAAATAAAAAACAAATGATAAAATTAAAATAGCAAATAGAATTAAAGAAGAAGAATATTAAGGGTTTGTTTGTTTTCTGTTT